GGGAATCGGACTGGGGCCTCCTGGTTCCGAGGTCGAGGGCTCGACGCTCAGCCCCGGAGCCAGGCCGGCGGCCGCCTCTCCACTAGGATCCACGCCCAGGAGCATCAGATCCCGGACGACTGACTCACTCTCTCTCTCTCTCTCTCTCTCTCTCTCTCTCTCTCCCCCCCCCCCCTTTCCCGCTGCAGCCGAAGGCGCTTAAGCTTCTGGGGATGGAGGTACGTCGGTGTGTGTGCAGCGGTTCTCGCCGTTTGGTCAGACCTCTGTGCCACCTTCATCGGGGCTGTTCAACATACAATCGAACGTGCTTGTTTCCTTCCTTTCTAGTTTTTAAAAAATGTATTTTTATTGATTTCGGAGAGGAAGAGAGAGGGAGAGGGAGAGGGAGAGGGAGAGGGAGAGAGAGAGAGAGAGAGAGAGAGAGAGAGAGAGAGAGAGAGAGAGAGAGAAAACATTCGTGATGGGAGAGAATCACCGATGGGCTGCCTCCTGCACGCCCCTGCACCGGGGATTGAGCCCACAGCTTGGGCATGTGCTCGCGACCAGAATCGGACCCGGGACCCCATGAGCCACGCCGGCCAGGGCTCTTGCTATATTTTTTTTAAAAAATTATTATTATTCCGCCGAAACTGGTTTGGCTCAGCGGTAGAGCGTTGGTCTGCGGACTGAAGGGTCCCGGGTTCGATGCCGGTCAAGGGCATGTGCCTTGGTTGCGGGCACATCCCCGGTGGGGGGTGTGCAAGAGGCAGCTGGTCGATGTTTCTCTCTCATCGACATTTCTAGCTCTCTCTCTCTCTCCCTTCCTCTCTGTAAAAAAATCAATAAAATATATATTTTTTAAAAATAAATAAAATAAAAAATCATTATTATTGATGTCCGAGAGGGAGGGAGAGAGAGAGAGAGAGAGAGAGAGAGAGAGAGAGAGAGAGAGAGAGAGAAACATCAGCGATGAGAGGGAATCACGGATCGGCTGCCTCCCGCACGCCCCCTGCTGGGGATCGATCCCATAACCCCGGGCCTGTGCCCTGACCGGGAATGGAACCGGGACCTCCCGGCTCCCAGGGGGAGGCCTGTGGGAGACGCCCGCCTCTGCCGCAGGACGAGGAGCCCCCGGCCAAGGGGAAGCGGAAGAAAAAGCGTGGGAAGGAGGAGGAGGTGGAGGTGGACGTGGACGACCCGGCCGTCAGCCGCTTCCGGCACCCGTTCCACGAGCTGATGGTGTGGGCCGTGCTGATGAGGCGGCAGCGCATGGCGGTGTTCCTGTGGCGGCGCGGCGAGGAGAGCATGGCCCGCGCCCTGGTGGCCTGCAAGCTCTACAAGGCCATGGCCCACGAGTGCGCCGAGAGCGAGCTGGTGGACGACGTGTCCCAGGACCTGGACAGCTACTCCAAGTGCGGCCGGGCGGGGGCGGGGCCGGGGTGGGGGGTGCGGGCCGGGCATCCCTCTTTTTTTAAAAAATATATATATATTTTTTTACTGATTTTTTACAGGGAGGAAGGGAGAGGGAGAGAGAGCTAGAAACATCGGTGAGAGAGAAACATCGACCAGCTGCCTCCTGCACACACACACACACACACACACACACACACACACACCCTACTGGGGATGTGCCCGCCACCAAGGTGCATGTCCTTGACCGGAATCGAACCTGGGACCCTTCGGTCTGCAGGCTGAGGCTCTATCCACTGAGCCAAACTGGCTAGGGCTTTGTTTGTTTATTTATTAAAATATATTTTTATTGATTTTTTTTAGAGAGAGAGAGGGGAAGGGAGAGGGAGAGAGGGATAGAAACATTCATGAGGAGAGAGAATCAGGGATCGGCTGCCGCCTGCACGCCCTCCTCTGGGGACGGAGCCCTGACCGGCTGGCTCATGGGCGGGTCCCCGCGGCCGGGCCGACCCCGTCCCCCGTCCCCCGTCCCCCTGTGGCAGGGACTTCGGGCAGCTGGCCGTGGAGCTGCTGGACCAGTCCTACCGGCACGACGAGCAGGTGGCCATGAAGCTGCTCACCTGCGAGCTGCGGAACTGGAGCAACTCCACCTGCCTCAAGCTGGCCGTGGCCGCCAAGCACCGCGACTTCATCGCCCACACCTGCAGCCAGATGCTGCTCACCGACATGTGGATGGGGCGGCTGCGCGTGCGCAAGAACCCGGGCCTGAAGGTGCGCGCGTGCACGTGTGTGTCTGTGCGTGTGTGCATGTGTCTGTGTGTTCATGTGCATGTGTGTGCGTGTGTGCACACATGTGTACGTGTGCATATGTGTGCTTGTGTACGTGTGTGCTGCGCGTGTGCGTGCGTGTGTGTGCGTGTGTGCATGTGTACATGTGTACGTGTGTGCATGTGTGTGGCCCACTGTGCGTGTACATGTGTTGCACCGTGTACATGTGTGCGCGTGTGCATGTGCGAGCGTGTGCATGTGTGTGCATGTGTGTGGTGTGTATATATGCATTGCGTGTGTGTGCGTGTGTGCGTGTGTATGTGTGCGTGTATGTGCGTGGTGTGTACGTGTGCATGTGTGTGCATGTGCTGCGTGTGTGCGTGTGTGTGCGTGGTGTGTACATGTGCGTGTGTGTGCATGTGCTGTGTGTGTGTGCGTGTGCGTGCGTGTGTGTATGTGTGTGTGTATGTGCGTGGTGTGTACATGTGCATGTGTGTGCGTATGGCCACTGGGGCCCTGTCCGTCCGTCCTCCCCACGCCTGGCGAGCACCCCCCGCCCCGCAGGTCATCCTGGGCATCCTCCTGCCGCCCACCATCCTGCTGCTGGAGTTCCGCACGCATGACGACTTCTCCTACCAGACGGCCAAGGAGAACGAGCTGGGCCGGGAGCAGGAGGAGGAGGCCGCGGTGAGTGCCCGGCCGCCGGCCGGCCCGGCCCGCCTTCCCCCGGAGCGAGGCCAGGCGGCGCGGGGGCGTGCTGGCGGTGAGGGGGCGGTGAGGGGAGGCTGCCTTCCCCACGCGGCCCGTCCCCGCCCGCCTGTGCCCAGGACCCCAGCGCGGACGCCGGCTCCAGGAAGGGGGACGAGGAGAGCGAGCACAGGAAGCAGCGGGGCCTCCCCATCGGGACCAAGATCTGCGAGTTCTACAACGCGCCCATCGTCAAGTTCTGGTTCTACACGGTGAGGCCCCCTCGGCTGCCGCCCCCGCCACCCAGTGCAGGGACGGGGGCTCCTGACCTCCCGCCCGCCCGCAGATCTCCTACCTGGGCTACCTGCTGCTCTTCAACTACGTCATCCTGGTGCGCATGGAGCGCTGGCCCTGCCTGCAGGAGTGGGTGGTCATTGCCTACATCGTGACGCTGGCCCTGGAGAAGGTGCGGGAGGTGAGTGCTCCCGAGTGCTCCCCCGCCCCCGGCGCACAGGGCCAACGCGACTCAGACACAGCTTCTTCTTCTTCTTCTTCTTCTTCTTCTAAAACCAGCTCCCTTCCTTCCTTCCCTCCTTCCTCCCTTCCTCCTTCCCTCCTTCCTTCCCCCTCCCTTCCCTCCTTCCTTCCCCCTCCCTTCCCTCCTTCCTTCCCCCTCCCTTCCCTCCTTCCTTCCCCCTCCCTTCCCTCCTTCCTTCTTCCTCCCCTCCCTCCTTCCTTCCCCCTCCCTTCCCTCCTTTCTTCCTCCCTTCCCTCCTTCCTTCCTCCCCGCTCCCTTCCTTCCTTCCCCCTCCCTTCCTTGCTTTCCCCCTCCCTTCCTTCCTTCCTCCCTTCCTTCCTCCCCCCTCCCTTCCTTCCTCCCTTCCCTCCTTCCTTCTTTCTTTCCTTCTTTCCTCCCTTCCCTCCTTCCTTCTTTCCTCCCTCCCTCCCTTCCTGTTAATAAATAACACACCGAGTGGCCAGAGGATGGTGATCTCTGAGCACAAAATCACCCGGCCACTACAGGTCCGTCCTATAGAATAAAAGGCTGACGTGCAAATGGTCCCCTCGACCGGGAGTGCGACCAGCAGGCAGGCCGGCCGACCGCCCACGTCCCCTCCCCCTGGCCAGGCTGGCCGGACCCCACCCACCCATGCACACATGCATGGACTGGGCTTCTAATATACACACACACACACACACACACACACACACACTGAGTGGCCACATTACTAGGCATTCAGAGACCATCGTCATCTGGCCACTCCGTGTGTGTATATATATATTTTTATATTGATGTCAGAGAGGAAGGGAGAGGGACGGAGAGAGAAACATCCGTGATGAGAGAGAGCCATGGACCGGCTGCCCCCTGCCACGCCCCCCACTGGGGGTCCAGCCTGTGCCCTTGGCCGGAATCGAACCTGGGACCCTACAGTCTGCAGGCCGAGGCTCTATCCACCGGGCCACACTGGCGCGGGCAGCTCGAGGGGTCTCCGGCCGCCTGAGGGGATGGCGCTGGAGGTCCCCGCGGGAACGGGACCCGCGTCCCCCGGAATGTGCCCCCGCGGGCCTCGGGCCGGCCCTCCCCGCTCACGGCCCGCCCGCGCCCGCCGCAGATCCTCATGTCGGAGCCGGGCAAGCTGAGCCAGAAGGTGAGGGTGTGGCTGCAGGAGTACTGGAACCTCACGGACCTGGCGGCCATCGCCGTGTTCCTGGCGGGCGCCGCGCTGCGCCTGCAGCGGGAGCCGTACATGGGCTACGGCCGCGTGCTCTACTGCGTGGACGTCATCTTCTGGTACGTCCGCGTGCTCGGCATCTTCGGCGTCAGCAAGTACCTGGGGCCCTACGTGATGATGATCGGCAAGATGGTGAGCTCCCTCCTCCCCCCCGCCCCCTCCTCCCCCTCCCCTCCCCCTCCTCCTCCCCATCCCCCTCCCCCTCCTCCCCATCCCCCTCCACATCCTCCCCCTCCCCCTCCTCCTCCTCCTCCTTCTTCTCCTCCTCCTCCCCCTCCCCCTCCTCCCCCTCCCCCTCCTCCTCCCCCTCCTCCTCCCCCTCCTCCTCCCCCTCCGCCTCCCCTCCCCCTCTTCCTCCCCATCCCCCTCCCCCTCCTCCCCATCCCCCTCCCCTCCTCCCCCTCCCCCTCCTCCTCCTCCTCCTTCTTCTCCTCCTCCTCCCCCTCCCCCTCCTCCCCCTCCCCCTCCTCCTCCTCCTTCTCCTCCTTCTTCCTCCTCCTCCTCCTCCTCCTCCTTCCTCCACCTCCTCCCCCTCTCCCTCCTTCTGCCGTGGGTTTTTAGAGAGAGAGAGTGGAAGGCAAGGGGGAGCACGACCAGCATGGGTTCGAGAGAGACACACGTCCAGGGCCAGGGATTGAGCCTGCCACTGAGGTAGATGCTCTTGACCAGGAATCGAACCTGGGACCCTTCCGTCCATAGGCCAGTGTTCTATCCCCTGAGTCAACTAACAGGGGTTCTTTAAAAAAAAAAAATTATTGTTATTGATTTCAGAGAGGAAAGGAGAGGGAGTGATTAGAAACATCCACGAGGAGAGAGAATCATGGAGCGGCTGCCCCCTGCATGCCCCCTCCTGCATGCCCCATGTGCCCTGACTGGGAATTGAACCATGACCTCCAGGTTCATAGGTCAATGCTCAACCCCTGAGCCACGCCGGCCGGGCGAAGCACTGATGAAGTCTTTGGGTTGAGCAAAATCAGGAACCACGTGAACTTGAGACCATCAGAGACCCATTTCCTTTGATGGACAGATGGCTGACACGCTTCACTCTGATTGGCAGATGATTGACATGCTGCACTGTGATTGGCAGATGGCTAACACGCTGCACTCTGATTGGCAGATGATTGACACGCTGCACTGTGATTGGCAGATGATTGACATGCTGCACTGTGATTGGTGGATGGCTGACACACTGCACTGTGATTGGCAGATGGCTGACACACTGCACTGTGATTGGCGGATGGCTGACACACTGCACTGTGATTGGCAGATGGCTGACACACTGCACTGTGATTGGCAGATGGCTGACACGCTGCACTGTGATTGGCGGATGGCTGACACACTGCACTGTGATTGGCGGATGGCTGACACACTGCACTGTGATTGGCGGATGGCTGACACGCTGCACTGTGATTGGCGGATGGCTGACACACTGCACTGTGATTGGCGGATGGCTGACACACTGCACTGTGATTGGCGGATGGCTGACACGCTGCACTGTGATTGGCGGATGGCTGACACCTGCACTGTGATTGGCGGATGGCTGACACGCTGCACTCTGATTGGCGGATGGCTGACATGCTGCACTGTTTTTGGCGGATGGCTGACACGCTGCACTCTGATTGGCGGATGGCTGACACACTGCACTGTGATTGGCAGATAGCTGACACGCTGCAGTGTGATTGGCGGATGGCTGACACGCTGCACTGTGATTGGCGGGTGGGTGACACGCTGCACTGTGATTGGCGGGTGGCTGACACCTGCACTCTGATTGGCAGATGGTCGACATGCTGTACTTCGTGGTGATCATGCTGGTCGTGCTGATGAGCTTCGGCGTCGCCCGCCAGGCCATCCTGCACCCGGACGAGGAGCCGTCGTGGCGGCTGGCCCGTAACATCTTCTACATGCCCTACTGGATGATCTACGGGGAGGTGTTTGCGGACCAGACCGACCGTAAGACTAGAATTCATAGTAAGGCCTGCTTCCCCGCTCCCGCAGGCGTAGGCCCCGCCCGGGGGGGGGGCGTGTGGGCGAGGGAGAGGGATGGAGCAGGCCTCTGTCCTGCGGGGCATCACGTGGTTTTTACGGAGTGAGTGCAGGGGACCGTTGTTGTTAATCCTCACCGAGGGTATTTTCCCATTGGTTTTTAGAGAGTGAACAGGAGGGGGAAAGAGAGCGAGAGAGGAACATTGATGTGAGAGAGAGACATGCCTCCCTCCATGCGCCCTTGACCGGGAGGAATATCTGAAGGCTTTGCTTTGTCTTGTTAACCGTTTTACTTTTCTCTCAACCGCCGTCCTGTTTTCTTTCCCCCTCGATCGCCGTACAGTCTACGCCATGGAAATCAACCGTAAGTGTACACAACACGTGCGGCTGTGCCAGGGGTGGGGCCAAGGGTCGTTTGGGTATTTTTGTCACATCCGAGGCGGGGCCGTACAAAACGATCCTGTTATAAATCCGCCTGCCCTGTGGGCCCCAACCTTTCGCTAACTCGCCCTGGCGGGGCCAGGCCACACGAGTCCTGGGGCCTTTTATGGCCCGTGGGCCGGGTGTTCCCCGCCCCGGTGTCCAGCGCCCGCGAAGTGTGCGTATCCCTTCGTTCATTCGTCTCCTCCTTATCTAATCACCAGCAGCTTTTACCCTGGGTGCGAATACCTCTCCGGTTTCCTGGAGTCGGTAGTTTTTGTGTTGTTGTTTTTTTTAAAAAACTGTAACTAAATTAGAAGCGTGTAGGCTAGACATCGATGATGGAGCTTATGTCACGAATGCCTGTTGGGGATCTATAGGTCCCGTGGGATCAGCGTGGCATTTCCAACGGGCAGAGAAGGGAAATATGGTTTGCCTTTTAAAATAGTTTTTTGTATTGATTTGAAAGAGAGAGGGAAGGGGGAGGGAGAGGAAGAGAGCAACATCCATCAGCTGCCTCCTGCACACCCACTCCTGGGGATGAGCCCACAACCAAGGTCCATGCCTTTGACCGGAACCAAACCCCTCAGTCCTCAGGCCGACGCTCTATCCACTGAGCCACACTGGTTTCGGCTCCTTATTTCTTTTAGGAGTTGCTATTTTTCACAGAAAAAAAAAAAGACATGGGTCACATGATAGCCTCGGTGAGCTGTTATCACGTGATAACTCCGGTGAGCCATGCCAGAGCGGGCACAGAAGGGCCTCCTTCCGTCCATTCCAGCTCCGTGTGGCGAGAACCAGTATGACGAGGAGGGCCGGCGTCTGCCGCCCTGCATCCCAGGCGCCTGGCTGACCCCCGCCATCATGGCCTGCTACCTGCTGGTGGCCAACATCCTGCTGGTCAACCTGCTCATCGCCGTCTTCAAGTGCGTGTCCCTCGGGGGGGACGGGGGAGAGGGGGACAGGCTTGGCCTCAATCCCGTCACTCTGCGGGGTTCCCGTCTCCTCACAGGCGCCCCCACGTGGCCCTGCGTGGACACAGAGTGTCTCTGGGAAAGGGTGGGATTTTTTTGTTTTCTTTTTTAATCCTCAGCTGAGGATATTGTTTTCCCATGGATTTTATTTTATTTTATTTTTTAAATAGTACTCCCAATAGTTGCTTTTAAAAAAAAAAAAAAAAAAACATGTTTTATTGATTTTTTTTTACAGAGAAGAAGGGAGAGGGATGGAGAGCTAGAAACATTGATGAGAGAGAGAGACATCGATCCGCTGCCTCGTGCACGCCCCCTACTGGGGATGTGCCCGCAACCAAGGTGACCATGCTGCCCTTGACCGGAATCGAACCTGGGACCCTTCGGTCTGCAGGCTGACGCTCTATCCACTGAGCCACACCGGTTTCGGCTCCCACTGATTTTTAGAGAGAGAGAGGAAGGGAGAGGGAGAGACAGAGAGAAACATCGATGTGAGACACATCGATGAGCTGCCTCCTGCACGCTCCCCGACCAGGGCCCCGGGATGGGGAGGAGCCTGCCACCGAGGTCCGTGCCCTCGACTGGAATCGAACCCGGGGGGGACCCTCCGGCCTGCAGGCCAGGGTGCTATCCCCTGAGCCACACGGGCCGGGGCCCGTCCATTGAGTCTTGGTAACGCGGGCGGCCCTGGGCAGAGATCCTCCCCCTGGACTGACAGAGATTGTCTCCTCTTTTAAAGCAACACCTTCTTCGAGGTGAAGTCCATCTCCAACCAGGTGTGGAAGTTCCAGCGCTACCAGCTCATCATGACCTTCCACGACCGGCCGGTGCTGCCGCCGCCCATGATCCTGCTGAGCCACCTCTACATCATCGCCCGGCGGCTGGGCGGCCGCTGCCGCCGGAGGCGGGAGGGCGAGCAGGACGAGCAGGACCGCGGGCTGAGTAGGTGCCCGGCTTCCCGGGAGGGCCCGCCGCCCGCCCATCTGTCCCCTCCACCCCCCTCGGGCTCAGAGGCTGACCGTGGACCTAGGAACCAGGAGGTCACGGTTCCCTTCCCCTTCACGGCACAGGCCCGGGTGCGCGCTCGATCCCCAGTGTGGGGTGTGCAGGAGGCAGCCCATCCATGACTCTCTCTCATCATAGATGTTTCTCTCTATCTTTCTCCCTTTCTCTCTAAAAATATCAATAAAATATATATATATATATTTTTTTAATATATTTTATTGATTTTGTACAGAGAGGAAGGGAGAGAGATAGAGAGTTAGAAACATCGATGAGAGAGAGTCATCGATCAGCTGCCTCTTGCACACCCCCTACCGGGGATGTGCCCGCAACCAAGGTCCATGCCCTTGACCGGAATCGAACCCGGGACGGACCCTTCCGTCCCCAAGCCGACGCTCTATCCATTGAGCCAAACCGATTTCGGCGTAAAAAAAAAAATATATATATATATATATATATTTTTTTTTTTTTAAAAAGATCTCTAAAAGCAGCTGGCCAGCATAGGTCAATGCTCAGGGGTCGAGCAGTGACCTATACACCAGGAGGTCAGGACTGGATTCCCGGCAGGACACAGGCCCGGGCTGTGGGCTCCATCTCCACTGCGGGGCTTGCAGGAGGCAGCCGGTCCGCGGTTCTCTCTGATGGTGGCCGTTTCTCTCTCTCTCCCCCCTCCCTCTTCCCGCTGACACCGGTGCCGCCAGAGCTGTTTCTCAGCGACGAGGAGCTGAAGCGGCTGCACGAGTTCGAGGCGCAGTGTGTGCAGGAGCACTTCCAGGGGAAGGAGGACGAGCAGCAGTCGTCCAGCGAGGAGCGCATCCGTGTCACCTGCGACAGGTGGGCCCGGCCGGGGCGGCTCAGCAGGTAGCGCGCCGTCGGCCTGCGGACCGAGGGGTCCCGGGTTCCAGTCCGGTGCAGGGCGCGTACCTCGGTGGCAGGCCCCTCCTGGAGCAACCCATGGACGTGTCTCTCTCCCACCGGGGTTTCTCTCTGTCTCCTTCCCCTCCCTTCCACTCTCCCTAAAAATCAAAGGGAGCAATATCCTCGGGGGGGGGGGGGGAGGGGGGGTTAACTCCAGGGTTGAACCCAGAGCAAGGAGAGGCTGCTGTTCTAACTCACTGCATAGCCCCGGGCACTCAGAACGACAGGTTCCCCACGGAGACACCTGTGTTTACGGGTAAAAAAACACGGGAGGGAGGCCCTCAAAGCACAGCTCAGGGCCCTGCGAGTCTCCTGGTCACAAAATGCCCAACCCCAGGGTTATCGCACTGTCCTTCGGCCTTGATGAGGCACATTTTCTTTAAAAAAAAAAAAAAAAAAAAAAAAGAATGTATTATTGATTTCAGAGAGGAAGGCAGAGGGAGCGAAGGGAGAGAAAGGGAAACATCCATGATGAGGAGAGAGAATCGGGGACCGGCTGCCTCCTGCACGCCCCACACCGGGGATGGAGCCTGCACCCCCGGGCCTGTGCCCTTGGCCCGAACGGAACCGGGGACCCTGCAGTGCGCAGGCCGGTGCTGGAGCCGCAGATGGGAAATTTCCACTCTCCCGGAGACACGGGCTCGGACTGAGTCACCGCCCCGGTGACGGACAATGGAAGTGCTGTTCTCTCTCTCCCTCCCCCCTCCCCCCGCATTGCTGGGATGTTTGCCATTCCTGGGCTGGCTCTGGGAATGGGGAATCGAGGATCAGGGCTCCATGGGAAGGATCGAGTGCCCTTCCTGTTTCCCCGAGCCCGGGAAGCCTGGGATGGGAGCGCATTCCTGCCCGTCCCATTGTCCCCGTCCGGCCAGGGACAGAGAGCAGGCGGGGTGCGGGGTCTGGGACGCCGGCCAGGCCAGCTGGGCAGCAGGGAATCACAGGAGCTATTTTCACCTCATTTTTGGCCCCAGGGAGGACTCTAAGATCAAACCTTGGAGGCTGCAATGTTCCTTCCATTTCTATGACTATATATATATTTATATAATTATATTATATTTATGCATTTAAATAATATATTTTGATTGATTGATTGATTGATGTCAGAGAGGAAAAGAGAGGGAGAGAAACATCAATGGTGAGAGAGACTCATTGATCAGCTGCCTCCCGTAACACGGGAACTCAAACCATGACTTTCTGGTTCATAAGTCAATGTTCAACCACTGAGCCATGCTGCTTAGCTCAAGCAGCATATATATTTTATTGATTTTTTACAGAGAGGGATAGAGCATCAGAAACATTGATGAAAGAGAAACATAGATCAGCTGCCTCCTGCACACCCCCTTATTGGGGATGTGCCTGCAACCGAGGTCCATGCCCTTGACCGGAATCGGACCTGGGACCCCCTCCATCCCCAGGCCGATCTGGGAAGAGCCCACGGGGATGTCCTGAGCTTAAATGTTCACAGGAGTCAACGCCACGAGCAGGCTGGGGTGTGGGTCCTGTTCCTGACCTGGCATTGACAGCCAATCCAGAGCGAGAGAGATACAGGTATCAGGTAGATAGAGATTTAAAAAAAAAGAAGAAGAAGAAAATTAAAAATGCCAGCGGTGTTAGTCATTCCCGCTGGGCGTCCAGGGTGTGGTTCCGTTCTCGCCGGAGACACGCCCCAGGAGGACACACGCCCGCTCAGGCACCGACAGCACCGGCACCACAGCCCTCCTGGCTCACAGGGCCGCCCTAACTGGCCTGGCCCACAAACGAGACAGAGGGAGCCGGCCGGCCTGGCTCAGGGGCTGAGCATCCACGTCCGAATCGGGAGGTCTCGGTTCGATTCCCGGTCAGGGCACGTGCCCGGTATGCGGGATGGATCCCAGTAGGCGGGGGCGTGCGGGAGGCAGCCGGTAGAATATTCTCTCTCCTCGTGGATGCTTCTGTCTCTCTCTCTTCCTCTCTGAAATCAATTAAAAAAAAAAAAAAAAAAGGAAGGAGAACGCAGGAAGATTTAAGACACCCTGTGCAACCGTGGGCACGCAGGCCTGCCCGTTCGGGCTGCCTCCCTACAATTACCCGACTTGAAAGGCCCCGAGGAAAAGAGCTGGGTGGGACTCGGCGCTGGGCGAGACGGGCGCCGTTTTGATCCTCGCGCCTGGCGTGCGATGACAGGGCAGGCCTGGTCTCGGAGCCGTGAGTGCCAGCCGGGCCCGGGACTCCCACGGAGCGAGACGGCTTTATGGGAGCAGCCAGCTCTGTCATTAGGGAAACGCTCCCGTGTGATTCCTGGGGTGCCTCTCGGGCGAAGGGGGCGGCTGTGCGTGAGGAGCTGACAGAGGCGTAGGGAGCGAGGTTTCACGGCCGGCTGGCTGGCTGCGGGGCTCCCCGTGTCGGAGCTCTGGCCTTGGACACGCGGGGACTTGAACGCGGACCCTGTATGTGGTGACAGAGCAGCGTCTAGGAAAGGCCAGGCCTCATGGGTATTCTCTTGGACGTGGCTCCAGAAGTCCCGCCGAGGTATAGAGTCGTGCCTGCTATGTGAATGCAGTGGGAAGCGTTAGGTGAAGCGTTAGATACGGCGCTTTCGATCTGATTTAAATATTTAAATGGAGCCCGGCCAGGGTGACCCAGTGGTTGAGCGTCAACCGAGGAACCAGGAGGTGCTGGTTGCATGCCTGGTTGCGGGCTCCATCCCCAGTGAGGAGCATGCAGGAGCCAGCCCATCACTGGTTCTCTCTCATCATGGATGCTTCTCTCTCTCTCTCGTTCCCTCTCTCTTTCTCCCCCTTTCTCTAATCCTCTCTGAATCAATTTTAAAAAAAAATTTTTTTTTTAAGAAGAAAGACTGTAGCCGAAACCGCTTTGGCTCAATGGATAGAGCGTCGGCTTGGGGACTGAAAGGTCCCGGGTTCGATTCCGGTCAAGGGCATGGACCTTGGTTGTGGGCATATCCCCAGTAGCGGGTGTGCAGGAGGCAGCTGATCGATGACTCTCTCTCATCGATGTTTCTAACTCTCTATTTCTCTCCCTTCCTCTCTGTACAAAATCAATAAAATATATTTAAAAAAAAGAAAAAAAGAAAGAAGAAAGACTATAAAAACACCCACGCTAATAAAAGAGTGAGAAGCACATTGACGGTACCTTCTCGACACCCACCAGCCCATCAGGCGTGAGTGTGCAAATCAGCCCAACAAAGATGGCGGGTTGATTTGCATATGCAGGTGTCTTGTGCTGCCCCCCCCCCCCCAGCTGCTCTGAGCCTCTGGGCAGCTGGAAAGGCGGAAAGGCGGTGCCAGGGGAAGGAAGGCCCGTCCTTGCACGGATCTCCGTGCCCCGGGCCTCCGGTGTGGCTGTCAGACGGCGTTCCTCCTTCGCTGAGGACTCACCCTCTGCCTTCGGTGTTGCCAGGGTGGAGAACATGTCCATGCAGCTGGAGGAGATGAACGAGCGGGAGGGCTTCATGAAGACGGCGCTGCAGACCGTGGACCTGCGGCTCTCGCAGCTGGAGGAGCTGTCGGGCCGTGTGGCCGGCGCCCTGGAGGCCCTGGCGGGCATCGACCGCTCCGAGCTGCTGCCCGGGCGCTCCCGGGCCTCCTCCGAGGGCGAGACCACCTTCCTGCTGCGGCAGGGCAGCGTGCACAGCGCCGACAGCAGCGCGGGCGGCGGCGGATACCGCTTCCCCCTGCCCGCCGAGGAGCCGGGCCCGGGGCTGGGCACCAAGAGAGCCTGCTCCTTCCGAGGGAAGGCAGAGAAGGACCCCGGGGGCAGCTGGCTGGCCTCAGACCACGGCCAGGACCCGCCGGGCCGAGCGAGGGGGAGGGAGGAGACGAAGGCCCTGCCCGCAGAGCAGACATCGGATTTGCAGAACACGCAGCTCACGGTCGGAGCTGCCGCAGCAGCAGGGACGGAGGCGGCTGCTCCCAGGCCTCCGGGACACACCAACAGGCCCCGCTCCGGCCCCGACGAGGCGTTCGGCGCCTGTCACACCCTGGAGTCCACCAGCGTCGTGTACTCCCACGGCAGGAGGCTGGTCGGTGAGCCAGGGACGTGCGGGCCGGGCGTGGGCCAGGCGTGGGCCGCGGAGTGGAAGTACCAGGTCCACAGGATCACGCGGTCCCGCAGCACCGACCTGCCCCCGTACGCGGTGTCGGAAGCCGCGAGGCTGGCAGGCCCGGAGGAGGAGGAGGAGGAGGAGGCTGGCGGTGCCGCTGCTCCAGGGGTTCCCTGGACGCCCCGCCCGTCCCTGGCCGTGGCCGAGCCCGCGGAGACGGGGAACCTGCTGACGGTGGGCGCGGGCCGGGCGCCGGGGTTCCCGTCGTTGAGGTCCAAGAGCTTGCACGGCCGCCCGGGGAGGGCTCCGGGCGCGCGGGCCCGGCTAGACACCCCCGGGCACGCCGGCAGCGTGGGCAGCCTCGTCGGCACGCCCAAGACGGAGGCCACACCTGCAGAAACGGAATGCTGATGGCCCGGCTCCTCCGGCTTCTGACGGCAGAGCCGCCGAGGACCAGCACCCCCCGCCCCTCCCCCCGGCCGTCTGACGGTCATCAGGTTCCGAAGACGCCAGCCGGCCTGGACGGCACTCGGTGGTGTGGACGCGGGACGGACATGCCAGGCGCGGCGGGCTCCCGTGTGTGTGTGTGTGTGCCCCCCGAATTCCTCCGTGGGAACCCCGACCCCAGTGTGGCTGTCTCCGGAGGTCATTACGGACAGATGAGGCCAGCCAGGATATGTGCCCCGAGAAGAAGACGCCAGAGCCCGGCCGGCATGCCCAGGGGGTGGGCATCAACCTAGGAACCAGGAGGTCCCGGGTTCGATTCCCGGACGGGGCACAGGCCCGGGTGGTGGGAGGCAGCCGGTCCGTGATTCTCTCTCATCGTGGGTGTTTCTCTTCCCCGCCACCCCGCTTTCCTCTCCTGTCTGAAATCGATAAAAAAAAGTACATAGGAGTAAAAATAAACACGCCCGTATGGGTCAAAGAGTGTGTGTGGATAACCATCCATTGCTTCCCAGCGTTAGGGAGAGGTCACCGCACCCGCTGAAGGCGGGTGGCGCTATGATTTCACTGGGATGGAGTCGGGGGGACCCCCACAGGTGCAGTTCACATCCATCATCATGTGGAAACAACGAGAAGAAGCCAGAATGGTTTTTTTCCCTCGTAACGAGAGCTCTTTGGATTTACTCTTTTTACAGCGTTCGAATACACGGAGTGGCCAGATTATGATGATCTCTGAATGCACAATCACCTGGCCACTCGTGTGTGTGTGTGTGTGTGTGTGTGTGTATAGTATATATAGTACATACCGTGTTTCCCCGAAAATAAGACCTAGCGCATGGAAAGATAAGACATCCCCTGAAAAAAAGACCTAGCGCAACTTTGGGAGAAAAATTAATATAAGACACTGTCTTATTTTCGGGAAACAGGGTAGTATATATTGTATATGTAGTGCTCAGTATAAATAGTATATATAGTATATAGTATAATATATATAGCATATATGTGGCATATAGTATACATGTATATAGTTTTTATACTATATACTACATATGTATAAGTACATATGTATACAGTATATAGCATATGTGTGTATATTGTTTTAATCACTACTCCATAATTTTGCGACTGCTATGAATATCTAACATTACTCAATCTGGATATCCAATTAAGATCCATCCAAATATCCAATTAAAGTCAGTCTCAGTATCCAATTAAGGTCAGTCTCAGTATCCACCCAGCGGCCCACTCCCACCTGACGGGTGCGAAGAGCGAGGAAAGAAAGGAGGCGCTGTGTCACATCTTTTCCCCGTTATCGTTTAACACAGGAAGGGGGGAGTCCAGGGCGGGATGGACGGAGGGGTCTGCGTGGCCAGCCTAAGTCATCCCGCACCCCGTCTTCCCGGGGAGAGGGGCCTCTGAGGGCCTCCATCCGCAGCCCGGACGCACTGTGCTTTGGAGACGGGTCCCCTCTCTGGGGCTCATTTGTCCCCTCTCCCAGGATGCACCTGTCCCCTCTCTGGGCTCACCTGTCCCCCCTCTGGGGCTCACCTGTCCCCTCTCTGGGCTCACCTGTCCCCCCTCTGCGGCTCACCTATCCCCTCTCTGGGCTCACCTGTCCCCTCTCCCAGGATGCACCTGTCCCCTCTCTGGGCTCACCTGTCCCCCCTCTGCGGCTCACCTGTCCCCGATCCCTCTCCCGGGCTCACCTGTCCCCCCTCCCAGAGCCCACACTGGGCTCCACTCCCCGGCTTCCCACCACAGTGATCGCGCGAGCGCGGCGACTGCCGAGCAGCGCCCCAGGGAAGAGGGTCCCAGGAGCGGAGGGACGGACGCGACCCGACCGAGGAGGCTCCGAGCCACGGCCGGTCCCGGGCCCGCTCCCGCGGTCGCCGTAGAGTCCCAGGGGGGCGGCAGGACCTCCGCGGGCGGCCTTTGACCCCCGCGGGCCACCGTAGCTCCCTGGGGGCTCCCGTGACCCCTGCGGGCCGCCGTGACCCCCGCGGGCCACCGTAGGCGCGCTCTCCCCGCGGCTGCGCGCCCAAGATGGCCGTCGCGCGCCGCTCCCCCCTGCGCCCTCGCTGAGGAGGTCCCGGCGGCGGCGGCGGGTGCGCGGCGACGCGGCGACAGCCCCGCGTGACGGCGGCGCGGGCGAGGCCTGGAGGCCCCGAGCGCCCAGCCACGTGCGCGCGCCGCCGCCGCCGCCGCCGCCGCCGCCGTCTCTCGGGGCAGGGCCACTTCCGGGGATGGGCTCGGGCGGCCGCTGCCTGCCCCGTCCCGACTCTGCCCCCCGCCCCCCGGCTCCTCCCCGCCCCCGTCCGTGCGCCGGGCCCGGCTGGCCACACGGGGAGCGCTCAGCCCACGGCGGGTCCCGGCTGGCGAGCGCGCCGGGGCGGGACGGCGAAGGCTAAGGCGGCGGCGGCGGCGGCACCATGTTCTCCCTGAAGCCGCCCAGACCCACCTTCCGGTCCTACCTGCTGCCGCCGCCCCAGGTACGCGGCCCCGACCCCGCGCGCGTCCCTCCCCTCCCTCCGCGCTCCCGGGAGCCGCCGGCCGGCCGGCCCGGGGGCTGGGGACCCGGAGGCCACCTGTCGCCATGTCTCCCTGGTCCTCGGTGCCCCGTCCCCAGCCAGAGCCCCCACCCACTCACTCGGGGAGAAGTTGTCAAACTCCGCCGGCCGCTGCCACGCTGCGCCCGGAGCTACGAGCCCAGCGACCATATGTCTGTCCTGTCCCGTCGCCCCCAGGGCGGCCGGGGGGATCGGGGATACCCGATGGGGTTAGGGCACCTGCCCGGCCCTTGATGTCTTAGTGTCCAGCTTCCCGAGTCCATCTTTAAAAAAAAAAACAACAACAACAACACTTGGTTTTAAAAAAAAAAAAAAAAGTGGGAAAGGATTGAAGGGGGACGCCAGACCGGACGGGTGCAGATTGGGGTCCCCTAGGGCCACCGGGTAGAAAGCAGCACGTGGGGGTTCGGTGTGTGTCTCTTGGCGGGAGCGGGGGGTGTTGAATTGTGCCGTTTGCGCCCGTGTTTCAGGCCGAGGACAAGTTCGATTCGGAGCCCAAGATTAAAAAGCTGGAGCCGGTGCTGCTGCCAGGTGAGCTGCTGCCAGGAGGGACGGGTGTGGGTCCCGGCTGATGCTCTGTCCACTGAACCGAACCAGCCAGGGCCCATTGATATTTTTTTTTATTTCACTTTATTTTATATGTATATCATTTTTAATTGATTTTTTTTTACAGAGAGGAAGGGAGAGGGATAGAGATCTAGAAACATCGATGAGAGAGAGTCATCATCATCGATCAGCTGCCTCTTGCACACCCCCTACTGGGGATGTGCCCGCAACCAAGGTCCATGCCCTTGATCGGAATCGAACCCAGGACCTTTCAGTCCGCAGGTTGACGCTCTATCCACTGAGCCAAACCGGTTTCGGCTTGGCTGATATTTTTTTAGAGAGAGCCTGAGGGAGGGGGATAGCTAGAGAGAGAGAGAGAGATAGGAGAAACATCCCTGGGTTGCTTCCCAAATTCATCGCTACAGGGCTGGCCGGGGATGGGACCTGCCGCCCAGGCACCCGCCCTTAGCTGGGAATGGAACCTGAGATCCTTCCAGGTCCGCAAGCCAGCGCTCTAACCACTGAGCCGCCGGCCGGGGCCGAGCCCACTCTTTCCCCCAAGCGGCCTCTGATGGCCGAGGTCGTGGAGTACTCTGTGCCCTGCCTGCCTGGCCATCGCCGTAAAGCAGCGTTTCTGGCGTCTGGGCCTCTGGAAACCAGTGACACGGCTCAGTGAACTTTGAATTCCTGAGTTGGCGATGGTTGTGTTCTGTGTTTTTCCCGGAGGTGTCAGCTGTTTCTGCGGGTGCACCTTCCCCACAGAGGCCCTTTTGCTTGACGTTTTGGGGCCCGTTGTCCTGTGGGAGGGGCTGTTGTTCTGTGCTGGGCAGGTGTTTATCCACTGGGGGGGGGGGTGTCCCCTCTTCCACCGCCTCATCCAGACCACCAGCGAGTCTCCAGCGTCCCCCACGCTGCCCCGGCCCCCACCCCCGGGGCACAGTGTCCTTCCCCGGAGACTCCCTGGGTCAGAACGGAACCGCCCCTGAGGCCCCTCCTCCCCCGCCAGCTTCGATCCCGCTTCCCTGTTAGGATTTGACACCCGTACTCGGTCTCGGCTGCAGATGTGGGGCTGGGCTTTTAAATGTCGCTCTCACCTCCGAGACAAGCTGATGGGGATGTTAACATCCACAGGCTTGAAGGACTGTCCCTCGGGGGGTCATAGGATCAGCCTCAGAACACGTCCCTTCCTGCCTAGGAGGCGCAGGTTTCCGGGGCGGCCGTGAGCCTCTCTGACTGAGCGAGGTCTGCTTGTCCGGGAGCCGCAGCTCAGTCCGGCCCTCCTGACCCGTGTTGGTGTTTTGCGGTGACTCTGAGCTCGCACCCCTGGTGGCCCTGGCCCTAGCCCTTGCCGAACCTCTCGCCAACCCCAAATTAGCGTGTCTGCCGCCTGCCCTCTCGTCTGTCCTTCCCACGCGCTTCCCGGTCTCTGTCTGTCTGGCCGCCCCGTCGTCGTGGTCTCTGTTTCTTGCCTCGCCTGTCACACCCCCTCTCCGACTCCCCCTGGCACATCGCAGCCTCTCCTCTGCTCCCAGCCTCCCTGCGGTCCAGGGGACCAGTGAAGTGAGTGAGGCAACGAGGGCCCGGCCCTCAGCCGTCAGAAGCCAGGCGGAGCCGTGGCAGGTCACCTGTGGCTTCCCGCGGCACCGGGGACAAGGAGCCATTGTTCCCCGGGGCGGTGTCACGTGTTCTGCTTGGGCACGGCGCCTGGAGTTCAAGGATATCCCTACCCCCCCCAGCTGCCCAGAGCCTGAACCCGTAATCCAGTAAGCAGATGAGAATCAGAACACAAAATCATTGTTTGTGTACGGTTACCGGCGGCTCCGTCAGAACGTGAGCCTGAATTTAAAACCAGCCTCGTTTTATGAAGCAGAGAGAGAGAGAGAGAGAGAGAGAGAAAGCGCGCCTGAGACACAGTGCGATCAGGCTGTGGTGTGCGCTGGAGGTCTCAGCTCGCCTGCTTTGTGAAGTAAGCCGGAGACTGGTCCTCCCTGCAGGCCGAGGCGTCGGGAGCTGCAGGAGACAGGGTCCCGCCCTGGTCAGTGCCAGCGCGTTGGGGACATGCTCCCCTGGAAAGAGGCAGGGCGGCGAGGCACAGAGGAGGGTCCCCTGAGCCAGATCGGGGCAGGAGGCCGATCCGGGAAGGGCTCCCGCTCGGCACCTGAGTGCCCGCCAGGCTCGGCCCTGCTCAGGCTGCGTGTGGGCTACGCCCTGTCCCTGTCCCCCTCGGCGGCGTTTTCACGGTGAGCCACGCGTCCTGTGACAGTGAGCGCCACTGATTGTCAGGCTTTGTAATCGGATCGGGGGGAGCACACGGCCACGGGCCGCGGCCTGGAAATGAAGGCAGCCTGGTTGGGGAGGTCCCGTGTGTCCGTACATCCCCGTGACACGCTCGCCCGTGTATGCTCTGCTCTGTGTTCTGCTCGCTGTGAGCTGCTTCATGTTGAGCCGTGCGTCCCTCAGGAAAGACTCTCTCGGATATGCGCTGTGTGCTCACGGCTCTCACTGTCGCCATCCGGCCATCAGTCGCTCGGCGCCTGCTGACTGCGTTAACGGTGGGGAGGTACCGCACACAACGATGGCTTTTTCCTCTTTTAAAGGAGAGATTGTTGTGAATGAAGTCAGCTTTGTGAGAAAGTGCATTGCAACCGACACGAGTCAATACGACCTGTGGGGGAAGCTGATCTGCAGCAACTTCAAAATTTCCTTCATCACGGACGACCCGATGCCTTTGCAGGTAGGTCCTGTCTGTGCGGTTTGTGCCGAGGCCTCTGACGCCAGGGCTGCTGTCACCAGCGCGCAGGTAACGGGAAAAGAGCTGACCTGAACGTGGCTTTGTGTTTCAGAAATTCCATTACAGAAACCTCCTTCTCGGCGAGCATGATGTCCCCTTAACGTGTATCGAGCAAATCGTCGCAGGTGCGTGCTATTCTTTTCATACGCGTACTGGTGGCCCAGGGCACAGGTCCGTGCACATTGGAAGGAAGTTAATTAGGAGAAATCGGGCTTCCTCCTCTCTGCTCCCGAGTCACCACAGCTCGGCGGCTCCTGCTTTGAGCGTCTGCTCCCTGGTGGTCCGTGTGTGTCACATGTGCCGGACAGCCGGATGGTCAACTTAGCCATAAATAAACATCTATATATTTATTGATTTCAGAGAGAAAGGGAGAGGGAGAGAGAGAGAGAAACATCAGTGGTGAGAGAGGATCATGGCTCGGCTGCCTCCTACACGCCCCCTACTGGGGATGGAGCCCACAACCCAGGCATGTGCCCTGACCGGGAGTCAAACCACCGAGCGACACTAGCTGGGCCATATTATTCTCTACTTAGTCCCTAAAGCTGATTCTACTCCGGAAGAATTGCTTGAAGATAATCAAATACTTGGGTTGTAAGTTTATTTTTATAGGTTTTTCTCTTTTTTTTTTTTTTTTTTTTTTTTTGAGTCCTAGGAACATTATTAAAGACAGAGGTAAAAAAATTAGTTTAAAATGGAGGTATAAAATGAATTGCTTTTTATAATTCCTAGTATTTGTCCTCTTTTAAATTAAAACTTTAATCATAAAATGTATCTAGATGGTGGTGGTTGGTGTGCAAACAATCATTTAAAATACCTTCAAAAGCAAAGTTAAAATCGATCCCCCAGCCCAGTGGATAGAGCGTCGGGCTGAGGACTGAAGGGTCCCGGGTTCGATTCCGGTCAGGGGCATGTGCCTTCGTTGCGGGCACATCCCCAGTAGGAGGTGTGCAGGGGGCAGCTGATGGATGTTTCTCTCTCACGAAGGTTTCTAACTATCTCTCTCCCTTCCTTCCTTAAAAAAATCAATAAGTTATATTAAAAATAAGTAATCAAAATCAATCCCCCAAAGTGCGAAGACGCACAGATAAGTGCCGTGAGGGTCGGGGAGGCGGTGCTCAGGGGGGTGTGTCCTTCCAGTCGCCATCGCTCGCTGGCCTTTGGGAGCCGCACTAACTAACGTCCTCACGCTGTGCTGTGCTCTCCTCCCTCCCAGTGAACGACCACAAGAGGAAGCAGAAAGTCCTGGGCCCCAACCAGAAACTGAAGTTCAACCCAACCGAGTTAATCATTTACTGCAAAGACTTCAGGATCGTCCGATTTCGCTTTGATGAATCGGGACCCGAAAGTGCCAAAAAGGTAATGGCTGGTTTTGTTCTGGTTCAGCTCCGTCCGGTCCCGGGTTTGTGCCCGAACCATTTCAGTTCTCTGGGGAAAGTTTGGCCATTTCTCAGTGGCCCACGTTCTCCCCACCCCACCCCTTTTTCAGAGGAATTTGTGAGGCAGGAAGCGTTCTGTAGGAAGCTTTTTCATTCTGTCTTAAGCCCGAAGCTGACACACACCCACCAGTTAATAGGATTTGGTCAGCCCACCCCAACCAACAGCTGACAGCACCTTTCCCGCCCGCTCACTGTCCGCGTACGTCGTGCGGCCTCGTGCTTTTCCTGCCTCTCTCTCAGGGAGGGCTCTGCTGTCCTCTGCGTGCGCCGTCTTCAGCTTCCTCCTCCTCGCTCACCCAGTGTTTCCTCCACCGACCAGCCCAGGGCTCGGTCAGCACAGGGCATTCCGCCAGCGGCAGAATGAGCAGCACATTCCTGTCTGGTGCTCCCAGGAGGCCACGGGGCATCAGGGTGAGCAATTCCCGCCCGCCTGTGGCTCCGTCTCCATTTTGCAGACGCACAAGCTGAGGCTTTCTCTCTTCTAGGCGTCTGTCCGTGTGTTGCTCACCGCCTTTTGGGAGAATGCTTCTCTGGTTTTCAAGGGTCATTTGTTCGAATGCAATTACTTTCCTGTTAAAATTCAGCTCGGCAGGCCCCTGCTGAATGCCATCTGCTCACTGAAGGGTAACAGTGTCCTGGGGGCCGTGAGTGAGAACCTGGCCCCCTGGGGCTGGTCCACGTCCCAGGTCCACAGCGCGGCGTGGACATCAGTCCCCGAGGCCCCTGCCCCAAGACACACCCACAGCCAGGCCTCAGCGTGCATCTCCCTGACCTCGTGTGTGAACGTGGGATTCTAAATGCAGACTCTCTCCTAGGTGTGCCTTGCCATAGCTCATTACTCCCAGCCAACAGACCTCCAGCTCCTCTTTGCCTTTGAATACGTTGGGAAAAAGTACCACAGCTCAGGTAAATATGAGAACGTTGCATGTTATGACTGTCGCTTTGCGGGGCGCTCCTCAGGAGCCGCCGTGACCTGCGGCTTACATTTACAATTAACTTATATTTACAAGCACCACTATCTCAACTAGACAATGAGTTAATGGCTCTGACCCTTCAGAGCCATCAAGGTCGGCTAGCTCTTTTTACATTTTATTTCCAGTGACAATGCTAGGATTCGGTTCCCGGTTCCCAGCAACCCCCTCGCGGAGAAAAGTAAATCAGTTACATGTTCTCAGTGAAAGGTCCCTCGCCCAGCACGGTCTGAAGGGGTCTTATAACTTATTAATCGCACCGGTCCTGACATTCTGCTGCCTCGGAACATGTGGTGGTGATTTGGGTAATCTGCGGGGGGGAGTGACTGCAGTGTCACTAGTCTGTACAGGCATTGAGGGGGGAACAGGACTCGCATTGCGTGAGGCATGAGGCAGGCTCACTGCTCCGGAAGACACCTGGGAGGGATCTTTCCTGGGGGACACGAGGTCATGCGTGTCAGGCGGCGCTCTGTCCTCGTGGCACAGTGCTTATGGAGTGAGATAGTTTTTCTTACCAAAATAAGACTCGTCGTAATCTAGACTTGGAACAGTGCAGTTGATGTAAGTTCACTTCTGAACGTAAAGGAACTCCCGATTGCGTGAAAGCAGCGTAGGTCCCGGCTGTCAGGTCCTGACTGTCAGGCTGCCTTTGGGTCAGCCCCGAGTTGTCAACGTGATCATCAGGGTCACGGTCAAGGACAGCAGCTAGGAGGGATGTTTCGGGGGTACGGGAGTGGCAGGACGGCCACCGGCTCCCGCTTACATTGCTTGAGGATCCGGGCCAGTTCTTGCTGATGCTGCTTTTCCGGTAGAAATGGCGGCGCCCAGCATACGGGTCCTCAGCCTCAGCCTCAGGCTCAGGAGCTTCGTTCTGCGTTGGCTGACCTGCTGCTGCTTCACTTCCTTTCGCTGTTCCTCCTCCGGTCCTGGGGGCCTCTCGGGGTTAATAAGACCTCAAGTAGTTTATTCAGCCCAGAGCCTTCCCCTGAATCTCCTTGTGCGCACCAGTCAGTCCTCTGTGACTCCTTACGTGTAGCTTGTGGGTAACATGACACATCCTTAAAGCTCCTCCTCCTCAAGCCAGTACTTCCTAAGCGTGACCCTGGGCCAATGTTCCGTGACGGCCCCACAGCCTTTGCCGCCCTCCATGCTCCTGCAGAGGCATCAGCGGCTTCGTTAGGGTCTGACGGAGCCTGAGGCCCCCACCCCGCAGTCAGAGGCCGGGCCTGTGCCCACCGGAGCCTCGGGTTGGCAGCTGGGCTCCGGTGCGGGTTAGGGTCCTTTCTGCGGGCAGGCCGGGGACAGGGCTGCTGGCACAGGAAGGCCTGAGGGCGAGGTGTCCCTGCAGTGCTCGCTCTGAGGGAGGGTTAGACGGCCTGGGCCCCCCCACACACACGGGAGCCGTGACGGAGGAGGGAATGAGCGCAGAGCGCTGGTCGCCGCGGCCCCGGGAACAAGGGGCCTTTGACGGGAAAGAAGCCACGAGGCTGTTCCCCGGTCAGCCGGCTTGTGGGCAGACGCTGCCCGGAAGCACGGGCTCGCCCTTGTAAAGCGGTAGGCGTCAGGCTGTGCTCCTGAGGGAGTGCCAGCCTCAGGCGTGCCCTTCGGCCTCGGCGAGCAGCGCTGGCCCGCGACGTCCTCCCGGCAGGACGGCGAGTTCCCAGCGAGGCTCCTCCCGTTAACACGGTCTCAGGGCTCACTCCGCCCGGACGCTGGGTGGAATCCTCACACGTCTCAGGGGAGGTGCCCTGAGGGGGGGTGGACAGGAGAGAGGATGGCGTGCTGGAGGCGGGGTGCGAGGACACCCAGTGACGCTGCTCTTCCTCGTAGCCAGTGCGCCCAACGGGCTCCCCGCGGGCGGCAGCGGTGGCGGCGGGGCGGGCGGCGGCCAGAAGACGCCCCTCTTCGAGACCTACTCCGACTGGGACCGCGAGGTCAAGCGGACGGGCGCCTCGGGGTGGAGAGTGAGCTCCGTGAACGAGGGTTACATGATCTCCACGTGGTGAGTCCCGAGGAGCCGCCGCCCTCCTCCCACCGTGGGCGACCCCGTCCGCGGAGCTGCTGTCGGGTGGGGTCCTGGATCGGCCTGTCTGTGGACGGGCGGGGCAGGGAGTGGGGAGGGCACTGCAGCTTCTCGGGGGGGCGGAGGTGTGTGGGTTCGCTGGGTTTCAGGGGTCCTAGCCGCCAGGAGAACAATGGAGGGTGTGCTTTTCAGTCCTGCTGGCCTGATAGTCATTCTGGGTGGCACTCCATGCCTCCTGGGCTTTTCCCTGCTCTCCCAGGTCTGCTCCGTGGCTGCATCAGACACGCTTTAGGTCTGGGACGGTCAGTGTCCTCAGTGTCCACGGGATGGCTGCGGAGTGGGGTGCACATTCGGGGGGGGGGGGGGGGGAATGGGTTTGATGTCCGTGGGCTCACGGCGCCCTGCCCTGCCCGAAGCGCGGGCCTGACGGTGGGGTTTGCTTTCTCCCCTCAGCCTTCCAGAATACTTCGTGGTGCCCAGCTCCCTGGCCGACCAGGACCTGAAGACCTTTTCCCACTCTTTCGTCGGAAGGAGGATGCCGGTGAGTGACGGCTGCTGGGTGGCTCCGTCTCCCGCCCGGTCCCACGGGGCCCCGTCTCCCGCCCGCTCACGCGAGGCTCTCTCCGGTGCAGCTGTGGAGCTGGAGCCACCCGAACGGCAGCGCCCTGGTGCGGACGGCCCTCGTTAAGGACCTGCTGCAGCAGCGGAAGATCGACCAGAGGTGCTGACGCAGGGGGACTGGCTGGTCGTGTCAGTTCACCCCAGAGGCCCGGAGAACACGCTCAGGCCCCGTCAGCTCATCCTGTCCCAGGCCAGCTCAGACACGGCCCCGCGCCTCTCCCAGCTGCTCTCAGAGCCTGGGTCCCTCCCGATGCTTCCTCTTTCTCTCCTTCCTGTGTCCGAGCGTCGCCGCCTCCTGTCACTAACACGTCCTCTCCGCTGGGTCCTGCCCAGGCCCGTGGCACCAGCTGTCGGCTGCCTAGAACCCTTCCCCAGGTCGGCGATGGCTGCTGGTCTTCTCGGGTTTGGCCACGCGTCAGCTCCCTGGGGCCTCTCTAACCACGGGGCCGGACTCGCCCGCGCTCCCCTAAACACACCCCCTCACTCGGGGCTCACCGCGGCCGCTAGTGCCTCATTTGCCCCCACTCTCCCCGGAGGGGAGCCCATGCAGGCGGAGGCCGGGCCTACCCTGTTCCTCTCTGTCCCCAGCTCTCAGGCAGCGATTGGCTCACAGGAGGTGTCCGGGAAATGCGTGTGGAATAAATGAGTGACTAGTGACTGAGGATTTTGTCTTTCTTAGGATCTGTAACGCAATAACTAAGAGCCACCCGCAGAGGAGTGACATTCACAAGTCAGATTTGGATAAGACCCTGCCCAACATCCAAGAAATACAAGCGGCTTTTGTAAAGCTGAAACAGCTCTGTGTCAACGGTAATGTCTTCTTTATTTTATATACATATATATATATATATATATATATATATATACACATACATACATATGTTTGCAAACACAATGAGTGTGGGATATACAGCATTGTATGAGGTGTGTCAGGAAAAGTGATATTCCTTAAAATTGGAGAAACAGACTTATCTTAAGTAGAGGTTTATTGAAATGTTTGTACAAATTATTACTGTATGAGAAGGCCAGGAGAATAACCTGCAAACAAATGCTTTCCATTCTGGAATGACAATGAGCCCAATAAATCACCTGAAATCATGACAGGTAGGGTGGGGCGCTTTTATGAAAAAACAACTTACACCCTGAGGTTCAAGCCACTTTTTAATATTAAAAACGACATGCCATTTAACTCTGGTATTAATCATGTAAAATTAAGCTTAAGCCGCCTGAAAGCGTGTGTGTGTGTGTGTGTGTGTGTGTGTGTGAATATAACTGCATGCCTATATAATGGTGTTATTACAGAGCCTTTCGAAGAAACCGAAGAGAGATGGCTATCCTCGCTGGAAAGCACTCGGTGGCTAGAATACGTGAGGTTTGTACAACTACTTTCCTCTTTTTTTCTTTGACTTTATGTTTTGAAACTAGGGGCCCAGTGCACAAATTCATGCACCTTGAAAGGAACTGGTGGTTCGATTGTCCTGTCATTTGATCCGTTCCCACCACAGCCCCCCAGCGCTGTCTGCTGGCAGACCCACTCCTGCCCCCGCCGCTCCCATGCGCGGACAGCGCAGCCCCACTGGCACCCCCTGGCGGTGCCATCAGCAGGTGGGAGCGGCGGCGGCAGCTGGCAGTTTTCCTGGTAGGGAGAATACAAATGTGTGCAGTGGAATATTAGGTTTGCTTGATTTTAAGGTCTTTAAAGATATCTTTATCGTGGAAATGGGGTTTTTCACGGTATTTTTCTCTCCGCTCCCCAGGGCATTCCTGAGACACTCAGCAGAACTCGTGTACACCCTGGAAAGCAGGCGGCTCTCTGTGGTCCTCCAAGGTAACTCACTGCGGGGGTCCGTCCAGCCGGCGCGGGCACCACGTCCACGGTCAAGTCCGTGCCTGTCATGTGAGCCGTCCCTTACTGACGACACTGCCACCGGACACCCCAGGCCCTTACAGTTAGGGCGAAACGGGCCGGAGGAAGGCGGCTCCCTGCCCGCGTGCGTCCTCCGCCCTGTGCTGGGGAAGGCGTTCCCAGGCCTATGGAGCCACGCCGGGGGTCAGTCTTGGCCAGGCGTGCTCTCTCTAATCGTGCTGTGCGCCTCATTCATACCGACAGGGCGTGGATGCTCCACTCCAGCTCCATGTGCCTCTAAAGAAACAGGGCGGCGTCAAGAAATTACCTACTCGGAGAGCTAGTAATGTGAATTTTGTCTACGGGTTAGCAGGAATAATTGCAATATTAAATCTTTTTTAAAAAACATATTTTATTGATTTTTTTTTTTACAGGGAGGAAGGGAAAGGAATAGAGAGTTAGAAACATTGAGAGAGAAACATCAGCTGCCTCCTGCACACTCCCCACTGGGGATGTGCCTGTAACTAAGCCCTTGACCGGAATCGAACCTGGGACCTTTTTTAGTCCACAGGCTGACGCTCTATCCACTGAGCCACACCGGTTAGGGCTATAATATGAAACCTTTCTGTTAGCAAAACGTACTCATGTGTTGACTAACTCCAGAGCCAGTAGAATTGCTAAGCTTATGAATGAGGTTTGATAAGCCCTGAGCTTCCTGATGATGCACTAAGGCACATTGCATAGGCTGTGAGCACACAGCGCTGCTGGGGCTCACCGAGCATTTCTGCCGGCTCCAAGGCCACGGCTTCAAAACGTCCTGGGGAGCAGTAGGGTGCTCCCTTCCCAGTTGCGGCTGACAGCACAGTCAGTGTGAGCTTGGAGCCCATGGGGAGCATCTCGCTCACTGGTGGGTATCTCAGCTGCTGCTCAGTTCTACTCGGCACATCTGCCCCACGTTTGCTGATACAGGTGGCCCTCACTCCACCAGCACTGCCTTACAGATGAGTTCTCCTAATGTTTATTTAGGTGCAGCTCACACACCGCAGCACTCACCCTTTCTGAGTGTGGAAGTCAGTAACTTTTAGTACTAAGCGTACAGTTTCAGAGGTTTTTTTGTTATTCATTTATTTAAGAAAATTGATTAGGCCTAGTGTTTGAGAGTTGCCGGCCCCTCACAGGACACGGACTTGCCCCTCTCCCTCCCTCCGCGCTGTCCCGTGTCCTCACGCTCCCTCCGTTCTGACAGAGGAGGAGGGCAGAGACCTGAGCTGCGTGGTTGCGTCTCTCGTGCAAGTGATGCTGGACCCCTACTTCAGGACCATCCCCGGGTTCCAGAGCCTGGTGCAGAAGGAGTGGGTGATGGCGGGGCACCAGTTCCTGGACCGGTGCAACCACCTCAAGCGGTCGGAGAAGGAGGTAACGTAGCTTGTGCTGACTTTTCTTACTTTTAATAACTCTTATTGATTTAGGAAGGAAGGGAGAAGGAGAAAGAGAGAGAGAGAAACATCTGTGATGAGAGGGGATCGTGGATCAGCTGTCTCTGCACGCCCCCCCCTTGGGATCGAGCCCACAACCCGGGCATGTGGCCTCGCCGGGCATCAAATCAAGACGACCTGTTGACAGGCCGATGCTCAGCTGCTGAGCCATGCCGGCGGGTGCCAGTTAGACACTGGGGAACCGGAATGGAAGAGCGGGTCAGGGCCGCCTCCATCCCTAGCGGAGCCGTGGGCCGTTCCAGAGGAGGCACCGCCCGCGTCTTTGGGACGAGGCCTGAGGCATGGGATCCAGTCCTTTACAGAAACTCGGACGGGTCAGCCAGAAGCTGTTTACAGAAGCTGGGCTTGGCGGGTGTCCTGTGGGTCTATGTGCTAGTCCGTGTGTCCCGGCGAGGCTCCAGGCTTCCCGGCCCCGTCCTGCGGGCACACGGCCTGTGGGCGGCTCCCCCGGCCTCCCGGAAAGCGGGCTGCGGTGCTCATTCCTCAGGCTTCCCGCCCCCAGATCCTCAGCTCCCCTGGGCCGGGCTGGGGGCCAGCGCTCTGTCTTCGTGTCTCCCTCGCGTCAGCGATGAGCTTGAAGTGAGTGCGTGACCGGAGGATGCGGTCGGTGACCCACTTCTGGTCCCGCCCGCAGTCGCCGCTGTTCCTGCTGTTCCTGGACGCCACGTGGCAGCTGCTGGACCAGTTCCCGGCCGCCTTCGAGTTCTCCGAGACCTACCTGGCCGTGCTGGGTGACAGCACCCGCATCTCCCTGTTCGGCACCTTCCTGTTCAATTCGCCGCACCAGCGGGTGAAGCAGAGCACGGTGAGGGCTGGGGGGCGGCGCGGCGTGACGCTTCATTGGGAGGCCGTGCACGTCCAGTGCGTCCTGTAACCGCCCCTCCCTGCCCCGGGCTGGGTCCCGGCCCTGCGGTCCCTGACGGGCGGGTGGGCGGGCTCTCCATTAGTTTCAATTTTTCTTTTTTTAAAAAGATTGTATTGTTAAAAAAAAAAAATCTGTATTGCTGACATATTATATAGGTTCCCCTTTTAGCCCTCCAGCCACCCTGCCCCCTGGCCCAGGCCTTCACCACCCTGTTGCCTGTGTCCACGGGTGAGGCATACATGCATGTCCGCAAAGAACATTTTCACACCTGACAGCTAACCGCACAAACGTATGCTCACGGGCTCACGGGTAAGATGCTGCAGTTGTGAGACAACATGGGTGTTTGTGGCAGCACACGGATGAGACCCGGCTTCGCTTAGAACATGCCCGTGGCTTCTTCCCGTCTCAGGAAGAGAGCACGCTTGCTCACGCAGGGCGCGACGTGTCCTCCACCGGAGGTGCCGCCCGGAGGGAAGGCGTGGGCTCCCCCCCGTGGGCCGCGTGGCTCTGGGTCTGATGGTCCAATCCCAGACCGAAGCTCCCGCGAGGAAATCCTTGGCATCTCTCCCAGAGACCCAAACGTTGTGTTTTGCAGGAGTTCGCTATCAGCAGGAACATCCAGCTGGGCGACGAGAAGGGCTTGAGGTTCCCCTCGGTGTGGGACTGGTCCCTGCAGTTCACCGCCAAGGACCGCACGCTCTTCCACAACCCCCTGTACGTCGGCAGGAGCGCGCCCTGCGTGCGCAGCAGCTCCGGGAAGGCCTTCAAGCGGACCAAGGTGAGACGGCGCCCCCGAAACCCCTCCCAGAGCACAGGCCTCACAAGTCAGCCCCTCCCGGGACGAGCCTGCTTGCAGGGCAGGCCTGGCGGGATCGGGATCGGGATCGGGATCGGGCGCTTTTTACCGACGGGGCTTCCCTCCTCGGCTCCAGAGGCCCCGCAGCCCTGGGCCGCGTCTGAGGGTCAGCAGGTCACAGCGCTGAGCCTGGAGAGACCCACACTCTGCCTGTCGTTCCTTCTAGACTCGGCCAGCCTAGGTTTGTTCCGAGCCAGAAACTCTGGGATCCCTTCACACGACCTGCGTGGTTCAGGGCCGGCCCGCTCAGGGTCCGGCTTCTGGAGAAGGCCGCACACTGAAATGAGGAGAGAGACTGGAAAAGAGTTGATTTGGGAGAACGGGGACCAGGCGGGAAGTCCGCCTCTAGTGGGAAGACTAACCGCTCTCTGGCCTTTTGCCGTTCCTTTTATTGAGATCCTGAAACAAAGACATCTCTTAGGCAGGGAAGTTCCAACAACAGAAAATCAACTCACATTTACATATGATTAACAAATTAAAGTTGCCTCAGGCACCACTATCTCAACTAGACAATGAGTTAATAGCTCCCGACCATTCAGAGCCATCAAGCCTGGCCAGCTCTTTTTACATTTCATTACCAGTGACAGTGTGAGGTTTCGGAAGCAGAGCTAGTGGCCTCAGGCAGCTAGTGGCCTCAGGCTGCAGGAGCACCCACGGAGGAGGGGGAGGGGGAGGGGGAGGGGGAGGAGCGGTGGCAGGAACTTTGCGAGGGCTGGAGCTCAGTCCTCTAGGCCGAAGCCCCTGAAGCCCCTCCCGTCTCTCTAGCCCCGAGGGTTTGCTTGCCCTGCACCCTGGCTGTCTTTCCAAAGGGAAGCCGGACAGCCTTGCTAACCTCTCTCTCTCTCTCTCTCTCTCTCTCTCTCTCTCTCTCTCTCTCTCACAGAGAAACTACAGCTCCACGCTGCGGGGGATGCCCTCCTCCCTGCGGAACGGACTCCTCAGCGACCAGGACTCGCTCCCACGCAGGAACTCCCTGATCCTGCACGTGAGGCCGGACCCGCCTCCGCACGCCGCCGAGGGCCCGGGCGGCGGCGGCCTGGAGCGGTTCTTCGGGGAGTGGCTCTGCAGGCCAGCCGACCTGCACGGCGTGCTCCTGCCCCGCCTGTCGGGCGCGCACGTAAAGCTCTGGAAACTGTGCTACTTCCGCTGGGTCCCCGAAGCCCAGATCGACCGCGGGGGCTTCATCACCGCCTTCCACCGGCTCTCGCTGCTGGCCGACGAGGTGGACGTGCTGAGCAGGACGCTGCGGCAGCACCGGGCCGGCCCGCTGGAGGCCTGCTACGCCGAACTGGACCAGAGCCGCATGTACTTCCGGGCCCGCGGCCCCCAGGACACCTCGGGCACGCCGGGCTTCCTCTCCTCCTCCTTCCCCTTCTCCCCCGTCGGCAACCTCTGCCGGCGCAGCATCTCGGGCACGCCGCTGAGCAAGTTCCTGAGCGGGGCCAAGATCTGGCTGTCCACGGAGACGCTGGCCAACGAGGACTGACCGGGCATTTCCCTGGATACTCTCCTGCGGGGTTACGTCGCTCGCCCGGGCGCTTGGCGCCCTAATAATTCTATACGTGAGCATAACCGTTGAGATTTGCACTAACGTCGGAAACACGCTGAATCGTGCTTCCCTCGCCGTTGCTAGGAGACAGGCGTTCACTCGGGTCTCGATGTCCCCTTTCCGTGTCCAGGTCCGGCTCCCTGCTGACCCGCAGGCAGGCATCCCCACGTACTACTGTGACCGCGGGAATCAGGGTGTGTCCGCGCCCCTCCCTCCCGCAGCCAGAGCGGCAGTCCGGAGAGGACGGAGTAGTGGGTAGCCTCTTTTCGGGGAGCGTCGCTGGCCCCCAGCAGCCTGCAGGAGGTATTGGTGTCTGTCTGGTGCCTTTCTGTTGTCTGTCTCTCGTCGGAACTCGCCAGGGTCCGAGGTTGAGCACTGGAATCCACTTCCATCGCTCGGGACCGGAGATCACTGTGTCTTAAAACCATGCGTGTGCCCTTACCGTCCTCGAGCTAGCCTTAAATCGATGTGCACTGTGAACTCTGAGAAGCATGTTTGCTGTAGATAACGTAGCGGGACTTAGAAGTGCCTTTGACGCTGAGGTGGTCTGAGTACCATGGTTAAGTCGAGTTTGTTTTTGCGGTCAGGGAGTTGACATCCCGCTGCGTACGAAACGGGCCTCCCGCACTAAGTTCACACCAGCAGGCAGGAGTCCCCAGAGCAATGTCCCGTCTGTCCGGGAGTCCCCAGGGCCACAGCAGATCTGTGGGGGCCAGGCCTGGGGCGAGCCAACCCCAGGAGGGCTTCCCCTCCGCCCACCCCCCACTGATGATTGAGCCCGAAGCCCAGGCACGTGCCCTTGACTGGAATTGAACCCGGGACCCTTCAGTCTGCAGGCCAGCGCTCTGTCCACTGAGCCACATCAGCTGAGGTTCAGACCAAGTTCGTAAAAGGCTTAGGAGGAGAGAACAAGAGGAGGAAAAAACAGCCACTCAGAGTCCTGCCACTTTGACAAATAGCGAGAGGCCTCCACACCCACCAGCTTTGGATCGCAGCGTGCAGAGGGCACGTTGTTGGGCTGAGGCTCCCTTGTCTTGAGATAGTGCGCGAGAGCCAACGCCGAGCTGACGCTGGCGGGGACGCCTGCACCAGGCCCCGTGCCCTCGTTCCGCTTACCGGGCGAATGTCTGTTTGGCTGTTACTTTGTTAAAACTGTCATCCTAATCTCTTATAAACGTTTTATAATACAGCGTCTAGCTCGCTGACTTCCTTTTCTAAAACAGGTTTTTTTCAAAAGTATGTTTCACCTTTATACGTCACAGACAGCTATTTCTATTGAATTACCTGCCTTTTATAAACTGTTAGATGGTGTGTCTGAATCAAAGGGATAAGGTGTTCCTACTGAGTCTTAGGAGATTGGCCTGGCGGACACACCTAGTGTCCCTGCCAGCCTGCTGCCTGGAGGAAAAGGGCTTTTCTCCCCTGATCAATAGCAGCCATTGCCGTTGAGTACTTCACAGTCCTTTCCGGAAGCCTGTCCTCCCATCCCCCCCACCCCCCGCGGGGCACGCCCGGTCCTTCCTGCCACAAAGCTGACTCCTTACGGTGACAGCGAGAGCCGGTGACCTAGGGTTCTGATTCTCCCTTCTCCCCTTCTTCCTCTGCACACTGACCTCGGCTCCTTCCGTCATGTTTGATTTGCAACTTAAAAAACTAGGTACTATTAATGCTGTTTCAGACGGGAAATGTGCGTGATCAGATGTACAGCGTGGTTTTCCGTTGTCTCTGGCTGGACAGTTGTGTCATGATTATTGTGCCACAGCTCACTGGGCACGATATGAAGAGCCATGGTCGCAGCCCACGTCCTGGCCTTGCCGCTGCCCGGCACCTCGGGGCACCCCAGGGGTTCCGTGCGCCGTGCCAAAGAGCGCCCCCTCGGCCCGCAGCCCCGCGTGCGAGGCCGGGGCCGCGCCATCGCAGTCTGGACTCTGGTAGGAACTTAAAGATGTACAATGTCTTCCTGTTGTTTTGTGATGAAACTGACTTTAAAACCAAAAACATCTAACTTGGTTTAAGAGGAGTTTATTAACTGGGCTCACGGGTGGGCGCCAAGGAACGCCGGTTGCGTTGTCTGCTTGGCGTCATCCACGAGGGCAGTGGCTCCGGAAGCCAGGGCGTTTCCTTCCGGCCGGCCGTGTGCGCGTGAGTGTGTGTGTGTGTGTGTGTGTGTGTGTGTGTGTGTGTGCGCACGCGTGTGCGCGAGGAACTGGCTCAGAATTGGTGTTCTGATTGTAAAGCCAGAACGCCCACTGCCATGCCCTTCTTGGACAGTTATAAAGTGAGGAGGAAACCTTGTGTGGCTGCTTTTATAAAAGCTGGGAGCCGTCTCCTTTATTGGTGGATTTTTTTTCTCCTTTCGTTTGTTTTTTGTTGTTGTTGTTCTTTGGTGTTTTTTGTAACTTAGATGTCGCCGGTCCTAAAATGGCCACCAAGGTTTTCATCTTTTCAAAAGTTCACGGCCTTGAATCAATGCGTGTATTCAAGCCAGGTTTATTCGTGACAGCACCAACATCAAAACTAAATGCGATTGATTACACTCGTGCTTTTTGAGGATCTCAGACACACACACACACACACCCCGTTCTCAGCTCAGGCTCGGCTCTTGGCTCCCACGGCCGCGACGTGGCAGACCTCGACGTCGGCCCCCAGCCTCCGCAGCTCGTCCAGCCACACCATCTGCTTGTGCGAGAGGCGGTCGTTGGGGCCCTTGACCTCCACCAGCTGGAAGGGCAGAGTTCAGGGGTTAGTCTCCACGGACACGGAGCAGACAGGCCCGAGTGGTTCGCGCCGGGTATTTAAATGGCTCCTCCCACTGACACCGGCGATATTTAAAACTCCTGCTCTTAAGAAGAACGTACTGCCGAAACCGGTTTGGCTCAATGGATAGAGTGTCGGCTTGGGGACTGAGGGGTCCCGGGTTCGATTCCGGTCAAGGGCATGTATCTTGGTTGCGGGCATATCCCCAGTAGGGGGTGTGCAAGAGGCAGCTGGTCGATGACTCTCTCTCATCGATGTTTCTAACTCGCTCTCTCTCTCTCCCTTCCTCTCTGTACAAAATCAATAAAATATATAAAAAAAAAAAAAAAAAAAAAAAAAAAAAAAAAAAGAAGAACGTACTGAGGGAACAAGGAAGAAAAACAAGCCTCAGCCCGGGGCGAAGTATGCCCGAAAAGGACTTGTATGAACACGGCACACAGGATGGGACGGAAGGGGACCAGGTGAGCAGAGACTGTGCGCACACGCTGCCCTGTGGACAGGCCCACGCAAGGAACGCTCGGCCTCCACCGCCCGCCTCCAGGAGCCCCAGCCCTCCGCCCGGGAGCTCTCCAGGGATCCAGTCTCACCGACACCCCGGCCGGAAGAGGCCAGACTGTGGCCTCGGACGAAGCCGCTAATCAGGTTACAGACCCGACCTTCCCTCTGGCCCCACTGACCTTGACGCGATGGTCCTGGGAGCTCCACACCGCCAGGTCGGGGAGGCCGCCCCGGCAGTGCCGGAAGTCCTCGGCCAGGCGCCGGCACACCCCGCTGAGGACGGGGCCCCCCAGGCAGGAAGCGAGGTCCTGGACACGGAGCACAGGGGTCAGCAGCGCCCCCGGTGCCCCCGGCCCCGGAGACGGGAGGACTGGGGAGTCTCACTGGCGAGAAGCCCCCGCAGCTCTGCGGAGCCAGCTTTCCTGCCGGTGACCACCCTCTGCCCGCCGGGGAGATCCTGGGGGCCGTGAGGAGGCCATTTGGAATATGACAGCGATGGCCTGCAGAGGCCAGCGGCCACAGGGACAGCGTCCTCACTGCCGGGGCCAAAGGTCAGACAGAGGGAAGCTGTCAGCTTGGGAGAAGGCATAACCGGAGCTTGGGTGCCCTGGCACGGTCCCATTGCAGCTGTGGCATCGGGGCTGGGATGCTGTTACACACACACACGCACACACACACAGATACATACACACAACCATTCGTGTGTGTGTGTGTGTGTGTGTGTGTGTGTGTGTGTGGGTGCGTGGCCTGCAGACCTCACCTGCGCTTGCTGCAGGGAAGCGAAGCGGTCCCAGCTGACGACGGACGCCGCCCGGCCTTCCTGGGCCCGCCACGTGGCCGCCACCCGGCTCCGCAGGCCCTGGGTGGGGGCATCGTGGATCAGCTGCAGCCGGGCCTCAATGGCCGGCCGCCTGCTGGCGAAGAAGCTGTCCGTGCACAGGTCCAGTGGGGACGCCTGGCGAGGACGCCTGGCGTCAGAGACCGTTGCACGCGTGGCCCCCGGACACCAGCCCAGCTGGCTGAACGGGCGCATCCAAACACAGCTGCTCCGCCGGGGCGCGCCCCCGGGCTGGGCCGGCCCGGTACCTGGTAGGCGTTTCTGAAGGCGTCCGCGACGCCGTCCATGAAGATGATGTCCCACAGCAGGAGGCCGAACAGCGTGATGAAGGTGGAGCCTTCCCCGTGGATGCCTGAGGAAGCCACACACACACACAGACCGTGTCTGCTTCGGCCAGACACCACCACCACCTGCCTCCTCGGCTCCGAGGGGACCACGGAGCCATCTAGGGTTCAGATGCCACTCTCATGCCGTTCCTGCTGATGTTTTGCTTTTTTTTTTTACTGATGTCAGAGCTGGAGGCGGGGAGAGATGCCGGGTGTCGGTTACCTTGGTCGAAGCCGCTGCGTCGGTAATGGTCCAGCGCCAGCTCCTCCACGGAGCACAGGACCGTGGCGGGCGCGTCCGGCCCCCCGGCCTCCGCCACAAACACGGACTTGCCCATCCCGAGCTGCGGGCACAGCCGGCCGGTGATGGTCACGTGCTTCACGTCCTGCACGGCGACCTCGGGCAGCTGCTGGAGGAGGGGCCGGTACCTCCGGCAGCTGGGCGAGGCCCGCAGGCGCACGGCCCTCTGGTACAGCGCCAGGCGGTGCCCCGTCCTCACCGCGGGGTCGGCCAGCCCTTCCGCGATGCACTTGATGGCCTGGAATGAGCGGGGGGGAGGAGCGGGGTCAGCGCCCAAACCTTCGTGACAGCCTCAGCACGGCCTCCCTCCCGGGGCCCGCGGGCGGCAGGCAGAGAAAACTGCCGTCACCCCATCCTGTCTCCACGCCCAGGGCCGACCTTTCCGCCCGATGTCACCCTGGCTCGCTCACTCCACATGCTGCTGGGGGAGGCGAGGGCTCCCAGGGGCACAGCCCTCCGTTCATGGCCACGGCCAAGCTGGCACGGAGGCGGGCGGCCGCACAAAGGGCCACTTTGGCCACCGGGCAGGCGCACAGCGGCCACCGCCTTCGGAGGCCCACGCTGCTCGGCCCAGAAGGTCCCCGCCCCCACGTCCAGGGTCCCCGCCAGAGGACACCACGCCCCGAAGCGAAGGCGGCTGCTCAGAGGCGAAGCCCAGGGCTTCCCGGAGGCAGTTACTCATGAGGTGCCTGTCCCAGCACCTCCAGGCCCCGTGCAGCAGGGCAACCAACCCTGTTTCCAAGCAGAGAGCGCCCGCTGAGGGCGGAGGCGTCCAGCTCTCCTGGCCCCGGGCCCCTGATTGGCCCTAACCCCCAGCACAGGTCCCACCGCCAGCCCCGCTCCCTGCATTGCCATGCTTGGGTTAGCGGCCTCGTTATTTCCTTTCGGGGTGGGACAATATGGGCAGAGGTTTAAAAAATGAATGTCTGGTGCTGGGGGCAGGCTAGAGGGGGGTCAATGGAAAAGGGGGGACAAATGCAATCTTTTCAACAATAAAGATTAAAAGGAAAAAAAAGAACGTCCTGCCCGGCCAGTGTGATTATCAACCCATGAACCAGGAGGTCACGGTTCGATTCCTGGTCAGGCACAGGCCTGGGTTGCGGGCTCCATCCCCAGTGGGGGGTGTGCAGGAGGCAGTTGGTCCATGATTCTCTCTCATCGTGGATGTTTCTCTCTGCCCCTCTCCCTTCCTCTCTGAAATCAAAAAACTATGTTTTTAAAAACACTAATGTCCTAATTGCATTTGGTTCTTAAGGTGTTAATTGTTGGCTGTCCCGTCTAGTGACAGTACCGGTTCGAGGCGCTTCAGGTGCTGGTGGAGGTTGAGAGCCAGCCGGTCCCACCACCGGCCCCTGCTGTCGGGACAATAGACGTTCTGGGACAAAAGGTCCTCCAGTTCCTGGACGGCTTCCTGCGGCGACAACAAAGGAAGTGCATCAGACGCAATCGCACCAAAAGTAAACAAGGCCGGGGCGGATGTGCACAGAGCCCAGCTCCGTCCCGCAAGGAGGCCAAGGCCCCGCTCCCTGAGGCTCCCCACGGCCCAGCAGGTGAGCACTGCACGGCATGGCTGCACACAAGCCACCGGTCCACAGAGGCCACACGGGGTCCGGCTGCAGGTGCAGCCCCACCCGATCCCTGGAGCCTGGCAGGTCTCGCTGGCAGGAGTTTGGGGCTGGCCGGACCCACAGACACACACGTGTGGGGTCCACAGACTCCCCAGGGCCTCTCCCACGATCCTCCTGGGACCGGGACTCAGGTCAGGAGCCGGCTTCGGCATGGCCTCGGAGAAGCGCCCTCCTCCAGCACAGGAGGCGGCAGGCGGCAGTCACCCTGAGCCGCGGGCGCAGCTTGGCGTAACAGGACACCTCCGCGTTCCGGGTCTGTGACTCGGCTATGCCAGACGGTCCCCGACAGCCGCCCGGGAGGCACGGCAGATGTGGGGCCCCTCCGAGCGTGTCGGAGACCTCCCCGGTGCCACACGAGCTCGGCGTGACCCTCAGGCCGGACTGGGGCAGCTCGCCACTCGCCAAACCGCTGGCCGCCCAGCCACGTGGACATCGCCCTCGGCAGCTCGCCGCCGCCGCCAGCACGTCCCCCGCGCCGGCAGGCCCGCGTCCTCACCTCGTACCGGTGCAGCCGCTGCAGGACCTCTACGCCGCGGGACCGGATCCGGGTGTGCACCCAGCCGGCCGTGAAGCAGCGCAGAAAGGGCGGCAGTTCCGCGTGGCGCCTGCGGGAACGCGTGTCTCTCAGGAAAAGGTCTGTCCGCGGTGCTGGGGCCTGTGCCCGGCGCCCGGCTCCCCGCTCCGAACCCAGGAGGGGCGGGCAGGACGCAGGCGGGCAACGTGCCGCTCTCACACCCACGCGGCTCTCTCTCCCTCTCCCCCTTCCTCGCTCTCTAAAGTAAATAAGTTGACGGCACGCAACCTGCTCCTGTCCGCCGACCCGTTACGGTGTCCCGGTTAATTAGCATGTTTCTCTATTTTTATATATATGCACAGATATGTAATTATTTGTTTTTAGAGAAGAAGGGAGAGGGAAAAAGACAGAAACATCAGCGATGACAGAGAATCGCAATCGGCTGCCTCCTGCACGCCCCCCACTGGGGATGCAGCCTGAAACCAGGCCTGTGCCCCGACCAGGAACGGAACTGGTCCATAGGTTGGTGCTTTGAGCCACGCCGGCCGGGCCAATTCAGTTTTCTTGTTCGGAATAACCTATTTGAATTTCCTTCGAGAGGACAGGTGTGGCGCGCGGGCTTCCCAGGACATCTGTCCGCTGGGTTCCCCGCACGTTGGGTTCCGCTGAGCAGTCGTTGGGCAAGCCGACGCCCCGGGATGGCCACCAGCTGCCCCCTCCGCCCCGCCCGTGAGCTCACAGGAATGTGTGCTGCACAGGGGTCCGCGTCCTGTGAAACCCACCCCCACACTCACAGGCCTTTCCTCCTCCTGATTCTGTGCAGGGCAACAGGCAGGCGCCTCCGCAGCCGGGCGGACCCAGCACAGAAGCAGCAGGTGCTCCGTGAAGAATGTGTGTGTGTCCCCACACCGTGGCAGGAACAGCCGGTCAGTGCGTCCCTTCCCCGGGCACTCACGGAACACCCGCCCTCACCTCAGGGAAGGGTGGTGTCTCAGCTCCTGCCAGTCCCTCCTGGCGCCCTCACAGAGCGCGTGGGCCTCCTTCCAGTTCCCGGCGGCCATGGCGGCGGCGACGTCACTCAGCCTGTGGGCGGCATCGGCGTACCTGGGGGGAAGGGCATAGCCTATAGAATAAAAGGCTGATAGGCACATGGTCCCCTCGACCAGCAGGCAGGCCGGCCGGCCGACCGCCCACATCCCCTCGCCCTGGCCAGGCTGGCCGGACACCACCCACGCACAAATTCATGCACTGGGCCTCTAATATTGTGTTTCCCCGAAAATAAGACCTAAGCGCAACTTTGGGAGAAAAAATTAATATAAGACACTGTCTTACTTTTGGGGAAACGGTATATACACACACACACACACTGAGTGGCCAGATTCCTATGTGTTCAGAGATCACCATAATCTGGCCACTCTGTGTGTGTGTGTGTGTGTGTGTGTGTGTGTATCCTATTGATTTCAGAGAGGAAAAGAGAGGGAGAGAAGGAAACACTGATCGGCTGCCTCCTGCACGCCCCCACTAGGCATCAAGCCCGCAACCCCGAGTGGGAACGGATCCGTGACCTCCTGGCTCACAGGCTGACACTCGGCCGCACGGGCCGGGCTGAGCACACGGCCCCGGTCCCCGCGGCGCCTCGGGGACGTACACCCTGGGAGCCAGGCCAGCGCCACGGCGGGAGGAGGGGTGGGGGTGGGGGGACCCTGCGTGAGGGCGAAGCGGCCGCTCTGACCTGAGGAGGTCGTCTCTGTCCTGGAAGACCTGGGCGTGCCGGCGGACGGTGTACCGGGGGAAGGCCACGCGGCCCAGGCTGACCAGCTGCACAGTGGAGAGCTGGCCCTGCCCCCCGCAGGGGGCGTCCTCCTCCTCCGGGGAGTCGGTCGGGGAGAAGAGCAGCAGGGCCCGGGAGAACACGGCCCTCGGGCCTCGGCACACCCTCAGCGACGGGCCGGCCAGGTCCTTGGCTCTGAGACAGAGGGCGACACGGGCATCAGGTTGTTTTCAGGTGCAACGGTGTGTGTGTGTGTGTGTGTGTGTGTGTGTGTGGAGGGGCTCCTGATCGCTGTTCTCGGCCTCCAGCCAACCCACCCTCCTGCTGGTGACCCCGGAAGCCACCCTTCCTTCCCCAGCGGTTCCAGGAGAGCGCAGGACGCAGCTGACGCCAGTCGTGAACGTGTAAAACTGGCAGGAAAACGCCTGACCGTACCGCCCGTTTGACATGGGTGAGTCTCACTTCCGACTCCCAAGGACAGTTTAGATAAATATTACGCTTAATGGAGAGTTTCCCCTCAAAAAAAAAACAACAAAAAATGGACTGAGCCGTTTCCTCTTAAGTCCTTCGAGATTAGTAGCTGGAACTGCATTTTTCTTTCTTGAGTGAGAAATAACTGGACTTCACCAAGGCCTAACGCCTGTATCCCCTGCCCTCCAGACTTCCCGTGGCCTCAGGCAGCGGGATGGTGTCACGGGGACTACGAACCCACCAGGGAGGAATCCAGGCCCGTGGAATGGATGAGGGCTCCCCCTCCCCCTCCCCGATGGCAATGCCCGAGAGGTCAGCGCCGGCAGATGGAAAGCAGGCACTGCCTGTCGGAGGTCAGTGTGCGCGTCAGATTTCTAAATGTCGCCAGACCTTTTCAGTATCGCCGCCCCGACGCCGGGCGGGCCGCCGCCCCGGGGGCAGACGGAGGGCTGCCGGGCCAGGCGGAGCAGGGCCCGGGCCAGCTGCTGCTTCTGCCCGCCGGCCTGGCCCAGGTGGAAGGTCTTCGCCAGGGTCCTCAGCTCGGGAGCGGAGAGCAGGTCCAGCACCTCGGGGAGTTCTCGCAACTCGGACTCTGACGCGTATGTCAAGAAGGGAAGTTTTTACTAAAGAGTCACAGCATGCTCTAGGGCAGTGGCTCTCCACCTTTCTGACGCCTCGACTCTTGAATATAGCTCCTCACGTGGTGGGGACCCCCCCCCCAACCGTAAAATTATTTCCGTTGCTACTTCCTGACTGTAATTCTGCTGTTAATGAATCGTAATGTAAATATCTGTGTTTCCCGGTGGTCGTAGGCTCTACAGCAGTGGTTCTCAACCTATGGGCCGCGAAATGTTGAGAACCGCTAGCTAGCAGAGTGTCACCTAAGACCACAGAAGGGTTTCGGGTTTGATTCCTGGCCAAGGGCATGTCTCTGGGTTGCAGGTTGGATCCCGGGCCCCAGGCCGGGGACGTGCAGGAGGCAACCGATGGATGTGTGTCTCTCACATCAATATTTCTCTATTCCCCTCCTTCCCTCCCTCCCAATCTCTCTAAAAGTCAATGGGGAAAAAAATATCCTTGTGTGAGGATTAGCAACAACGAGAAAAAAAAAAAAAAAACAAGGGCAGACGCTCTCTCATTACCCGAAAGGCAAAGAAATGCAATTCCTCGTGTCCCGTTTCCAGCGTGCGTTTCCCTGGGGGAGCCGTACCCGTCTGCAGAAAGCCGGCTCGCTCCAGTTCTCCAACCACGGGCGCCAGGTCCGGGGCGATCTCTTCGTATTCCAACTTATGCCTCTTAATCCAGCCGAACTTACGTTGGAACAGTCTGACGTATAGCTTCTGAGCGCTGTCTGCAAGGCGGTGACAGAAAAGGGGGGGAAACGTTACCTTTTTCTCCAAAACAATGCACAGGTATCATTTCCTTTTTTAAATATATTTCTTTATTGATTTCAGAGAGGAAGGGAGGAGAGAGAGAGAAACATTAATGATGAGAATCATGGATTGGCTGCCTCCTACACACCCCCACTGGGGATTGAGTCTGCAACCCAGGCATGTGCCCTAGCCGGAATCGAACCTGGGACCCTTGAGTGAGCAGGCCGACGCTCTGTCCACTCTCTGTTAAAAAATAATGGAAAAAATATCCTTGCGTGAGGATCAGCAACAACAAAAGGAATTCCTTAATAATTCCACTGTGTGACCTTAAAACAGAAACCTCGCACTTTAGCGAGAGCAGGAAGGTTCCGGGTTTTGAAAGAAGCCAGACCTGGCTACGCAGCTCCAAGGTCAGCGTGGCCCGCTCCCGGGAGGGGCTCTGGTCCCCCTCGGCCCTCGGGGTAAACAGGGCAGCCGTCACAAGGGCGGCTTTTGTGGCAGACCTGGCCCTCTGGCCCGGAGCCACCGCCGGCTGCCAAGGAGCCGAGGCACAGGCTCCTGTTTGTAAACGGACCGATTTAGCTCGGACGTGTCCATTTCCTCCACGCCCAGACCCCGAGAGGCGGCGCCCAGGAGCCTAAAATATTGCTTCAGTGTCCCGTGGTCTGCTCTCGCCTTCCGCCTTCATTCCTGAGGGCAGGCTGTGCAGACACAACACAGCCTGCCTGGGCCCGAGGGGCCGCTCAGAATGCAAAGGCGCTTTGAGAAGGCGCACTGTCACTATCGCTTTTTATTTTTACTTTATTTATTTACTTTAATACATGTCTTTACTGATCTCAGAGAGGAAGGGAGAGGGAGAGAGAGCACGAAACATCAATGATGAGAGACAATCATTGATTGGCTGCCTCCTGCACATCCCCTACTGGGGATGTGCCCGCAACCCACGTACATGCCCTTGACCGGAATCAAGCCTGGGACCCTTGATTCCAAAGGCCGACGCTCTATCCACTGAGCCACACCAGCTAGGGCCACTCTTTATTTTTTTTTTTATCCAGAAAAGGCTGTCTGCCACCTGTCAATAACATCAGTAAGTCCTGCGACTTTAAGGGAAGAGGGTAACAAAGCCAGTTTCACTGTCATCGATATGAATGAGAGTTTAGTTCCTACATCATCTCATCAGCATCACAATGAAAACACCGTGAACAGAAACACGACGGGAGCCGGGCCCGTGTGGCTCGGTGGCTGAGCATCATCCTAGGTCACGGTTCCATTCCCTGTCAGGTGCCCCGATGGCAGGCTCCATCCCCAGGGTGAGGGGGCGTGCATGAGGCAGCCGGTTCATGATTCTCTCATCGTGGATGTTTCTCTCTCTCCCCCTCTCCCTCCCTCTCTGAAGTCAATATAAATATTGACTTATAAATAAACACCGCACTAGCGGTGGGCCTGCTGAATCCGCATGAAGGCGGGATACTCCAGGCACAGACCTCACGGGGCACGGAAATCTCGCCTCTTTTCCGTACTCATCCTTCCCTTGGAGGAAGCCATCGGGAGGCTGGTTCCTCTGAGCCCTCCCGGCTGATTCTCAAACCACTCTGCCTCCTGGCGGCCACCGGAGTGCGGCCGGGCAGATACCTGACAGCTGATGGAACCTGGCCACCGCGGCCTGCTCCTGCTGGTCGAAGAGCCTGCTGTCGTCCTCGCTCTGGAAGACGGCCCCCAGCACCAGCAGGAAGCTGCGGAGGTAGTAAGGGTGGCCGGGCGGAGGTGGTGAGGGGGACCCCGGCCCCGAGGGCGCCCCGAGAGCCGTGCCATCCTCTGAGCCTCCGCCGGCAGCTTCCAGGGGGGGCCTGTGCAAGTCCCTCCGCTCGGAGGTGTCCTGCGCCTCCGGATGGGACGGCTCGGTCCCTCCGACCTCCTCACCGACACCTGCCGCCCGTGTCCCCGCACCTTCACCACCGCCTCGGCCCATCCCCTCCCGCCAAGCCAGACGGTCCTCGGGCGCGGGCGGAGGCCCCGGGGGCGATGACACGGGCGCGTCCTCGGGAAAGGCGGGAGCCAGGGCGGGCCTCCCTGCATCCTCGGGAGGCTTGAGGCCCCTGATGGTGTCTTCGTCCGTGAGACAGACACAGGGGAGCACGTTCTCCTTCTGGGAGCCGCTCCCCGCACCCCGGTCCGCAGGGCTCCCCGCCGCCCTGGCCTCCTCTCCGGCCCGCAGGGACCGCCTGGATAGCCTGGACGCCAGGCTGCCCAAGGGAACCGCCCGGGCGTCCCGAGGTGGCAGCTCTGCGCCTCGGCCTGGGCTCTGGGCCCCGGCGCCCGTGAAGTAGGGGCTGGTCTGCTTCCGGCCCCGGGTGGCCGCGCCGCCCGGCTCGGGGGCTGACGGTGCCCGGGGCCGCGGGGCGCACGTGTCGTCCAGGTGCCGGTTGAGGTCGTAGCGGCCCACCAGCTGCCCGCACGCCGGGCAGGCCAGCCTGGCGGGCGGCGCGCGGTGGAAACACAGCTCGATGGGCCCGGACTCCTGGCCCCCGGCCCCGGCCCCGGCCCTGCCGCCGGACACGCTGCGGCGCGGCCTCTTCCCGGCGGGCGGCGCCCCGGGCATCGCGGGGACCGGGCGGCCTGGGGAAGGGCCCCGGGGACCTGCCGGGCTGCTCAGGGGGGAGGCGGCGGCCGCCGGGCTCCCTGTCACCGGCTCCGGCGGCGCCGCTCCTGCAGGACCACGTGCGGCGCAGCGGGCGCCCAGGCTGCGCCGGGCATCGCTCCGGGCCAGCCCGGCCCCGCGCCTGGCACAGGTCCCCGCGCGGCGCCCGTGCCCCCGCCCGGACCCGCCCTGAGCCCCGCGATGGCCCGCTTGTGCCCGAACCCCCGGCGCGGGGCGAGCCCGGCGGCCACACTTCCCACGGGCTCTGCGCATGCGCCCAGGCACGACCAGCCGATCCCCGCGCCCCGGCGCGCACAGGCCCGCCCAGAGGAGGCCCGAGTGATCGATCGCTCCCCTCCTCCAGGATGATCAATCGCTCGCCTCCCCTCCTCCAGGATGATCAATCGCTCCCCTCCTCCAGGATGACAAATCGCTCCCCTCCTCTCCTCCAGGATGATCAATCGCTCCCCTCCTCCAGGATGGTCGATCGCTCCCGCCTCCAGGATGATCGATCGCTCCGCCTCCGGGAAGGCTGCCCCCCGTGCAGGCGGCAGAGGGCGGAGGAGCCCGGGAGGAAGCGCCCCCTCATTCCCGGGGCACCTCTCAAGCCCCGAGCGAGCGGATGGCCGAACCTGCATGGCCTTTCCCACAAATGCACACGGATGGCTGAGTTTAACGTGTAAGAGGCTGAGAATCGCTAATAATGAAATGGAACAATGGGCCGAAACCGGGGTGGCTCAGTGGATAGAGCCTGGGCCTGCGGACTGAGGGGTCCCGGGTCCGATTCCGGTCATGGGCAGGCACCTTGGTTGCGGGCCCATCCCCAGTGATGGGTGTGCAGGAGGCAGCTGGTCCATGTTTCTCTCTCATCCAGTTCCTAGCTCTCTCTCCCTCTCCCTTCTTCCTCCCTGTAAAAATATCAATAAAATATTTTTTAAAAAAAATAAAAAATAAACTTTCTTAAAGCCCGGTAAGCACAATGGCGAGTGCACGTGAGGAAATATATACAATTTGATATGTATGCCATTTCGAATAACAATCTTCAAAACTTCCTGTCATATTTTCTGAAGGCGTTAACATCATAGGTATTTTAACGCCTAAAAACGGCGAGTTTAATGCCAAGAAAAGGGGCATTGGCAGGGAGTTTTAGTTCATTAATAACGGCATCGATGGGGGGAATCCCCGTTATTAATGGATAGACCTGCGAACACCGCTTTGGGGCGTTATGTCGCCATCTTGTGGACACATCTGGTGTTGCACCGTTTAAACTTTTGTGTGCGTTTTTTCCCCAGCCATCCCAAAGCAAGAGTACAGTACAGTGACAAGTATAGCACGGAGGGAGGCCTGTCTTCATGAGCAATCTGAAATTCGCTTGTGATACACCGTGACCCCGCACACGTTTTAATTTCTTTCTCTCCCAAACAGCAGGGGCGATTTCCCGTAAACCAGGGCCTCCTCCTCTCCTGCACAACCACCCGCATCGGGGGTTCCCTCTGATGCGTGTCTGCCTTCCAGTCCTCTGAGGGGATCAGAATGAGGCCCGTTGTCCCGGGAAAGCCCTCGGAAGGCGGCCAGAGACCCCGCCGACACCGCCTTCCCGTGAGAGGCGGACTTTGCATGGAGTCTTTGCCTCTCCCAGTCCCCCTCCTGGAACCTGTCACAGACTGGAGCCCTTTAGCGCTTTGCTGAAGCGGCGGATACTAATGTGTGGAATCGGGGACCCTCCAGGCTGCAGAGACGCCCCCCGGAAGGCATGCAGAACAGGGCACGGAGCCGAGGCGCCTCGGACCTCCGAACCCCAAGAGATGGGGAGCTGGGGGACCCCCTCCCCAGGGGTGGATCACACCCATGCAAATGCCGTGGGAGCGCTAAGTGAATGCGGTGGGAACCCTGAGTTAACAGAGTTAACAGCCCACAGCCAAGCAGTCTGTCTCCCGGGCACAGCGATTGCACCTGGCTGCGCCCCAGCAGTGTGGCTCAGTGGTTGAGCCCGCCTATGCACCGGAAGGTCTCAGATCCGATTCCCGGTTCGATGCCCGGGTTGGGGCCGCCGCGCCAGGCGTGGAGGTGCAGGAGGCAGCCGATTCTCGCCGTGGATGTGGATCCCCGTCGCTGAAACCAATGGAAATGGGTTATTTTCTCTCAGAGAGAAACGCGGTGGCGGCTGTGCCGGCTTTGCGGTGCTGCGGGCGGGGACGGCCAGTCAGGGAGGTGGCAGCGGCAGGAGGCCTGGGAGGAGGCGCTCCAGGAGGCAGAGGAGGTGGTGTCTCTCTCGGGAGGTCCCTGTCCTGGGGCCGCCTGACCGTGGCTGCAGGGTCGCAGGCTGGGGGTGAGGGTTGGAGAGCAGAGTCCCCCCCCGAAGGACCCGCAGCTTCCAGTGCCTGGTAAGTCCGCCTCCGATTCTCAAGCAAATGTCCTTTTTGTCTCTGTTCTTTGGAGCTTTGAGTGCAGAGGAGACCGTTAACCCCACCGATGCCCTCCGGCCGGTGTGGCTCAGTGGTTGAGCTTCCATCTATGAAGCGGGAGGTGGTGCGGTTCCATTCCCAGTCAGGGCACAAGCCAGGCTGTGGGCTCCATCCCAGAGTGGGGTTTGCATGTAGCAGCCACTGAATGGTTTTCTCTAATCTTGCATATGTCTCTCTCTCTCTCCCTCTCCCTTCCCCTCTGAGATACATAACATATCGAAGGAAAACATTTTTTTTCTTAAAGCCCGGTAAGCAAAATGGCATGTGCACATGTCTGTGGATATATATGCAACTTGGTACTTATGCTATTTAAAATAAACAATCTTCAAAACTTCATGTCACATTTTGAAGGCGTTAACATCATAGGTATTTTAACGCCAAGAAACGTCGAGTTCAATGCCAAAAAAGGAGCACTTGCAGGAAGTTTTAGTTCATCAGTAATACCTGCATCGATGGGGGAAAAATCCCTGTTATTAGTCCATATACCTGCTAACACCGCTTCTGGGATGTTATGTCGCCCTCCTGTGGACACATCTAGTAATGCACCACTTAAACTTTTTTTTTTTTTTTTTCCCCAGCCATCGCAAAGCAACACTACAGTAAAGTGACAAGTATAGCACAGAGACCACTCTGCACGAGCAATCTGACATTACCCGTGTGATACCCCGTGACCCCGCACACGTTTTAATTTCTTTTTCTCCCAAATAGCAGGGGCGATTTCCTGTAAACCAGGGCCTTCTCCTGCACAATCATTAGCATCGGGAGTTCACTGTGATGCGTGTCTGCCCTCCAGTCCTCTGACGGGATTGCCTTGTGGCCGGTTGTCCCAGGAATGCCCTCGGCAGGCGGCCAGAGAGCCCGCAGACACCCCCTTCCTGTGAGAGGCGCACTTTGTGTGGAGTGTTCACATCTCCCGGTCCCCCTCCCGGAACCTTTTACAGACTGGAGCGCTTTAACACTTTCTTGAACTGTCAGATACTGTCTGGAATGTAGGACCCTACAGGCTCCACAGATGCCCCCGAGAATCCAAGCAGAATGGGAAAACGTAGCCAAAGGGCCCTGGATCTCCAAACTGCAAGAGAATTGGATCCCGGCTCCTCCTTTGCTCTGGCCTGGACGCCCAGCAGCGGGCTCTTTAAACTGGCCTCAGCAATAAACGTTGCTTAGCGACAGGGGCAAAGCACACTGGGAAATGTAGTAGCAGTGGGCCCGGTGTATACCCGAAAGTGCGTCGCGCGTCCGTCGCGACGAACGCTGGGAAGTGTGGCCGCGTAGCAGCGTTGCATGCCGGGAGGTGCGTCTTACGTCGGTCGTTCTGCATTCTGGGAAGTGCGTCATGCGTCAGACGCTAAGCACGCCGGGAAGTGTGGCAGCGCCGCCATATTGCATGCAGGGAGGTGCGTCTAACGTCGGCCGCTCTGCATTCTGGGAAGTGCGTCGTGCGTCAAAACTTAAGCACACCGGGAAGTGTGGCAGCGTCGCTGAGTTGCATGCCGGGAGGTGCGTCTTGCGTCAGTCGAAAGGTACGCCGGGAAGTGTGGCAGCGTCGCCACGTTGCGTGCCAGGAGGTGCGGCTTGCGGCGGTCGCGTGGCGTGCTGGGAAGTGAGTCAGACTTAGGTGGCGAGGTATGACCGGAAGTGCGGCTGTTTGGGAGGCGGGACCAGACGGGAGGTGCGTCCGTGTGAGCGCGGGGCACGCCGGGAAGTGTGTCTGAGCCCGCAGAGGGGCGTGTGTGGCGGGAAGCCCGATCGCCGGGGCCGGAGGAGGAGGCGGCGGGATGGCGGAGCGGACGGCGCAGCGGATGGAGCGGGCGGCGCGGTGCCCAGCGCCGTGCGTGGCTGCGAGCCGGGCCTGCGGGGTGAGCGCGGGCAGCGGGCGGCCTCGGGGGCCCCGCGGTGGGCGGGCTGTGCCGAGCCGTCCCGGGCGCGTCCGGCCGGCGGGGCGGAGGGACCATCCCGCGGGCTCCTGGCCCGGCCGGCGGCTTGGGGACGGGACTGGGGTCGCTCCCGGCCCGGACCCGTGGGCCCGTGTCCGGTGCGGCCTCGGGGCGCCGGGTCTCGGTCTGATCCGCGCGGGCGCCGAGCCTGGAGTCGGGGGCCGTGACCCCAGCGCCGAGCGAGCGGCTGGTTCTCAGGAAACACGGTGCGCGATGGCGGCAGAGTGCGGACAGGGCACGTGCCGGTGCTTGGCTTTTTTTAGGGAGAAAGAGAGAGAGAGAAAGCGGGCAATAATGAGAGAGAATCATGGATCGGCTGCCTCCTGCCCGCCCCACACTGGGGATGGAGCCACAACCTGAGCATGTGCCCTGACCGGGAATGGAACCGTGACCTTCTGGTTCCTGGGCCGGGCCTAGCTAAACACTTTCTGAGTGACTGGCAGCCTGGAGTCAAATGACGGGGCAGCTCTGATGATGGGCCTCGGTGCCTCTCAGTCCTGTCATTCCTCCCGTGGCCTTTCCTCTGTCACAGGATATAAAATCCCTGTCATCGAGAATC